TCTCCTAGTGGATACATTAACAAAAATTTTATATTTATAAAATCATCGAAATACAAATATTTATTTCAAATTTAATCAAGAAATCTCATCAAATATTTATAAAATAAAGTGTTAAACAAATTATTTTTAAAAAATCTCTTGATTTTGAATATCCTAATCCACGTTTCCCTCGTGGAGGTTATCTATATTAAAATTGTGAACCTTACAATTTGTTTCTTTTTTGGGATCCTGGCATGGACGTTTTGGGTGGGGGAGAGGGGAATGCGAAATTAAGCCTTTAGAAATTTATTTATTCAGGAATCTAACAAATTTTGAGTCGGAGTACCTTAGAAAATCTTCAGAATTTCCAATTCTAGACAAACTCATTTCCTCGATTACTAGGCTTCTAATCGCGATCCATTATTTTCTTTTCATTTTCTTTTAACTTTTACTCTCAAAAAATAAATAAATAAATACACATTTTCAAAAAAGTTTTTTATTATGTATATTTTAAAAGATAAAAAAAGTTTTTATATTTTTAAAAAAAAAAAAATTACATATTTTCCGAAAATAATTAATTAAATAAATATATTTCATTTCTTGTATGGTAGAGAGGTGGTTTATAAGGATATTATCACTGGTAAAAAATTGATATGAAATGACCTTATGGAATTCTCAAAAAAAAACCGATCAAAAAACAGGTATAATCAATATTGTGTTTTTATATTTATTATCTTTCTCTGTTTTTTTTAAAATTATTATTATCCTTTTGTTTTTTATTCTTATAGGGTAAAAAAAACCCGAGTTTTTTATTAATTCAAGTGTATAACCCCCTCCGATTTAAATGATTTCGTCCTAAAAATCACCGAACACCACCTAGATGGAAAACTAAATATATAATATGAAGGGCCAAATGAAACGTTTCACTTATAGGCGATTTTTTATTCGACCGGTTTATTGCTTCGGTTATTTTAAACACTATCCGTTTCGACGACGATTCGTATTTTCATACTCAACCCGGTCCGACTTTATAAACCCGTATCAATTTATAAATCACCTAACCCGACCTAGATGGAAAACTAAATATATAATATGAAGGGCCAAATGAAACGTTTCACTTATAAGCGATTTTTTTTTCGACCGGTTTATTGCTTCGGTTATTTTAAACACTATCCGTTTCGACGACGATTCGTATTTCCATACTCAACCCGGTCCGACTTTATAAACCCGTATCAATTTATAAATCACCGAACCCGACCTAGATGGAAAACTAAATCTAAAATATGAAGGAGCAAAATGAAGCGTTTCACATATAGGCGATTTTTTTTTCGACCATTGCTTCGGTTATTTTAAACACTATCCGTTTCGACGACGATTCGTATTTTCATACTCGACCCGGTCCGACTTTATAAAACCGTATCAATTTAAGGATCTCTCTGATTTGAAATATGATAATTATTAATTATTTTTAGTTATATTTTTAAATCAAAAAAAAATGGAGAACTAAATCTAAAATATGAAGGAGCAAAATGAAGCGTTTCACTTATAGGTGCCTTTTTTTTCGACCGGTTTATTACTTCGGTTATTTTAAACACTATCCGTTTGGACGACGTTTCGTATTTTCATACCCGATCCGAATTTTAGAAAACCGTTTCGAAATTTGATATTAATTCCCTTTTAAAGTCATTTTTCTTCTTTCTAATGACTGTTGGAATATAAGAGCAGATAAAAAAATAATTATTTATATGGGGGGTAGAAAACTTGTTTTAAAACAGAGTTTTCGAAAAGGAAAAATTTGAAAAGATTTTTTGAGCAAAATTATTTTGGAGAGAATTCATAAAATTTGAAGAAGAAAAAATTATTGATTTAAATCATAAAAATATTTAAAAATTTTAGGAAAAAATAGAAGATTAAAATACCATCTAAGCGTTCTCCAAAAAAAAAAATCATCACTTTAAAAAAATATCTTCATTTAAAAATCTATAGATTTTTTTTTAATTCTTAAAATGATGATCAGAAAGAAAGAAAAGAAAGAAAGAAAGAAAGAAAGAAAGAAAGAAAGAAAGAAAGAAATTTCTTTAAAAAAAAAACTTATTAGTTAAGCAATAATATAAAGGGATATAATATACTTTTTAAAACAAGTAAAAATACAAATTTGATAGACTTGCATATCTTAAAGAAATTATACATTATACAAAAAAGAAGAAGATATTATAAAATATATATAATTTTTTTGTATTATTTACACGGGGTAAAACCCTTCCCTTATTTAGCATCAAAAAAAAATTCAAATACGTAAAAATCGTAGTTTTTTATTTGTTTTTTTTAAAGCAAAAAATTTGAATTTTTCTATCTATTTTCTAAGAAATTGATGCAATTTTTTTTTTTTTGTTTTATATAATTCTTGTTTTTTTTATAATCATTTATTGTTGTTTTCTATTTTTTTTGCTAATTTTTACTGAAATTAGAAATATTTTTAAAGGTAAAAAAAAAAATTTTTTGATAATAATTTAGATTTTGTATCCACTTTTTCCCCGAAGTTACCCCCACCCCCCCCCTTCTTATTTTCGTTAAAGGCATAATTATTTGAACAGTTTTTTATAAATAAAATAATTTACATTTTGTCCATATTTATTATCAGCTGTGGAAAATAAAAAATTGGTAACAAAACTAATAAAAGGATATATATTACCGACATAAGCGCGAATGTTATCCATGCCCAATTTCGAAAATCCAGCTGACGAATTTCGCAAAATTCCATATTTTTTCGACGACGCGATTTCGAGATCTTCTAAATCGTTGGACCAAGATTACGATATTACGGAACAAGGTGGGAATGGTGATTGGGAGCTGAATTGGTATCAGTTTTGCAAGCGTTATTCCCCGCCAAAAAATGGGCGCGTTGTACCAGCTGATGCTCATCATCATACAGATGTGGGTAAAGGGAATTTTTACGAAGTGTTTCCCGATTCGAACATCGAAAAGGAGAAAACTGACCCAATAACGCCCAACGAAATTGATCGGTTCGTTGATGAGGAAAGATACGAAAGCGACGTAACGTCAAAACAAAATGGCGATACAAATATTTATACTGAGGGATTCGAAAATGGGGATACCTCGGGGAGAATGGCCAATCAATCGTTCTTCCGAGATCCCGGGTCAGAATGCCCTAAAATGGATGATTTGGTGGGGTACGTCAACGATGCCTACGTCATTTCCACCATCAACCATTACATGTCGCGGGATTCGGTTTCTTCGAATTTTGGCCCAATCGGACCAGGGGAAATCAATTCGCCGACTGTTATCGACAATTCTTTACTCGATATCGCTAGCCATCTCGCGAAAAGGAAGCTCTGTTTCGAAGGAGAGCGCGTTAGCGGAGAGCATTCTTCCGAAAATTTCGAAGGCTTAACATTTAGCGGTCTTGATAATCGTTGTTCCTCATACATGAATAACAACGCTAAATATCGTGTGGGTAAAGAAGAAAGATTAAAATACCCTCCGAGGTTGAGTAAATCCTATTCCACGGAACTTAATTACGATTCGAATAATAACGCGTTCTATTGGAATAACTGTGGTAACGCGAAAGGAGGGTTGAAAAGACACTCTCAATTTCCTAACAGAAGCGAAATTATCAAGAGAAACGAGGCTTGGATCGAAGAAACTAACCGGACTAATAATGACGGAGAAGAAGGTGATGATGATGGTGGTACAGTTGCTAAATACAGAAAAGAGCATCGTAGAAAGCAAAACTTAGCCAAAAGAAAATGTAATATTAAAAAACCTACGAAAATGGCGGAGCCCTCCGTTAACTCAACCCCTAAATATTCTGGCAGATTATCGACCGTCATAAAAAGATTGACATCGTACCAAAAATCCTCACGGAATTCGGGAATTTCGAATGGAATCCTATACGCGAGAAAATGTTATTCCTTGGACGACCAAATCTACGATAAATGTTTCGAGGTTAAAGATGAAACTTTCTTTCCTTGGGAAATTAAAAGTATTTTTTAAATTAATAATTTATGAAAATTGAAAAAAAAAAAAAATGGAGGGTTTAATTTTAAATATACAAACGCTTTTTGCTTTGCTTACTCAATTTTTATCTCTCTTTAAATGCGATTTTATAATTATATATTATACATGTATTAAAGGCCCGCAAAAGCCAGATCCGCTAAGAATCCCCTCAATTTAAGCGGCTCGCTAAAATTTTACGGGAAAAAAAAATAAGGGGGCTAAAACCGTTTAAAAATTTTTTTTTCGAAAAGTCCGCCTCTACCCGAATCGGTTTTGCAACACATCTTATGTGGACATCACATTTTTGATATCTATATTTAATTTCTTCCTCCCCCCCACGTTAAATCACCTAACTCTGACCAGCTCTAGCACGGCTCAAGTTTTTACTCTAAGAAACTTATGGTCTCTATCATTAAGTCCGAGGCCAAACCCTAGGCTTGTAAGTCAATTTTTAAGGGGGGGGGGATAATCTTGACCACTTCATATTGGGTGTTGGTCAAAGTTAGGTGATTTAACGTCACTACTCTTGTATCTCTCCTCCAATGGCTATCTATTTCTTTACGATAACCCCTTTTCATGATTCAATTTTCAGTTTAATATTTTGGTATTTTGGGAAGGAATGAAGGATTTTGAATCATAATTCATAACAGAACTTGTTAAATTCTTTATTTATTTTGAATTTATTATCATTAATTTATATATAATTTAAAGTAGTAATTTTAAATTTTGACAGATCATAATTTTTTAAATTTTATTATTAAATCAAAAACATAATATATATTTATCAAAATATTTGATGAACGGGCGGTCAATCAAAATTTTTACAAAAAAAAAAAAAAATCGGAAATTTTCGGGACCCTGTTTTATTACGCCAAAACTGTCCTAGGTCTCGCTAATTGCCAGCTTTCTGTCAGGTCGGGCGTTTCAGATTTTCTAATATATATATATACCTATACCTCAACACTTCAAAAAAAAACTTACATTTCATTGATATATTCTAAGAGATGGGGATCAACGAAAAGAACGCTTCACCTCCCGCTTCTTTGGATGACAAATTAAACGCGTCAGAGCTAGATTTTGACGCGAGTCCCCTGGATTTATCTTGCAGAAGGAATAGATCCCAAATGTAAAAGTACATCTTTTTTTTGTTGTTGTTGTTGATAAATTAAAAAATAAAAATATATATATATAAAAGAGGAAATAAGAAATGGAAGAAAGAAAATACGGGGGTAGGAGAGGGTGGAAGGGGGTGTTCTAAATATTTCTAATTTATTAATGTGTACGTATAGTTTGTTTCAATTTTCCGGCGTCATTTTTTGAGCGGGCTTTTTAAAGATTTAAAAAAATCTGTTTTTACCGGGAAATGTAATTCCGTCATTGTTCGGAATACCCTAACCCTATAAATTTTTCAAGGACAATATTTTGTCGCGAACTTCGAGATCTTAATTATAATTTATATTATTAGATTTTTCATATATTATTTATTTTTGAATATATAAATTATAAATGAAATTCAAAAGGTTTTAAACAGTGAGTAAAAATAGTCTGCAATTCCAAAACATGATGGAAATATAACATATATTTCTATTTCCGGCACAAAAAAAAATCCTATATTTTTTTAAAAAATTATAAAAATAAGCGCGCTCTAAATTATGATTTAAAGTGTAATAATTCTTTTCTTCATACAATACCATTTCTAGGACCAAGAGTTATTCTAGCAGAAACAACGATACTCAATTTAGGAATATACCCTACGAATTGAACGATTCAGAGGTCCTCTCCAACAATATCAAAGTAAATAAATACTAAAATAATTTAATAATTTCCTAAACCAATTTTATAAGAAGCAGTTGATCCAGGGAGAAAAAAAAACTCCCTAAACACACAGAACTAACATTACCGAGATTTAGTTAACTATTTTAATAGGATCGGAGCTCCAAGGTTATATTGTTCTACTATCAATTTAGAAACGGCTGAGTTTTTCAAGAAGTTTAAGGATCTTCTTCCATAATCCATATTCAGTATTGGAAAACTCCATCCTAGTGTTGTTAAACGGCTCGATTCTGAATATTTTAGCCGGAAGTATATTGCCAATGCCAAGAGATTTTGCTAATAGATGTCCAAACCTTTGTTACTATCTATGGGCAAAATATTCAGGCTTTGCGTTGATATTTTTTTCTGGATAATATTCTTGGAACAAAATTGTTGAAAATTAGTGGGGAAAAAAAACGATTTTAAAAGTTGAGATTTTTAATATATATATATATATATATATATATAAGTCAATCATTGATAGATCAATCTAAGTTTTTTTTTAAACAAATTAACTGGGGAATTAATACCCGGCCCTGGTACCCGGGCCGGACCGGGCCGGGCCGTATTTTAAATTTTTAAAAATATACCCGGGGCGATAATATACTTAACTTCCCTAATGATATAGCTTCAAAAGGTTTTATCACTCCTCCCAAAAATTGGCTTAAGCCGAAACAAAAATTTTAAGTCGAAATTAAAAATTAAAATTTGCAAAGCGATGCAAAATTTTCGTTTTTTTTTATATAAAAAAAAAATTATTTCTCCATTTCAATTTTTTATCTTTCTCAGAAATTTCTTTAAAATAATATAAAAATGAGAATTATAAAAATTAATAATAAACAAATCTCAATTGTTATAAGAATTAATTTTCTTGCACTTTATAATATTAATTAAAAATTAATCAAAAAAAAAATTTGATACGTAGAAAGAAAGATAGCGGCCTCGGTATTTAAAAAGAACTAAGGTCGGGCTTAGGTCCGGTCTACAGGTCTCATAGTAAGAATCGAGATTAATATTAATCGAAATTCATAGGTCTCATAGTAAGAATCGAGATTAATATTAATCGAAATTCATAGGTCTCATAGTAAGAATCGAGATTAATATTAATCGAAATTCATTCATCGAGGTTATTTATTACTACTAAACTCCATCAGATTATATTAATATGGGCAATCATTTATTTTTCTAAATTTTTACTATAAGGAAATTCAGGCCAATATTTAATTATCCCCCCCCCCTTCCGTTTTAATTAGTTTTCTTTATTTTTAGTAATTTTTTTTTCTAAGACAAAACTAATAAAGGCGATAGATATAGAAATATCATTTTAGGAAAGAAATAAAAGGATAAAGATCCTTAAAAAACACAAAGAAAAGATGCCCATAAAATAAGTAAACAGATGGTAAAGTAGGGTAGAATAAAGGAAAGAAGGTATAAGAAGGCAAGGACGATTATTCGATGGAAGAAGTAAAACTTTGGGTATTTTTAGAAGGGAATAATAGAGATTGGCAGTCTTTGTGGTAAGAAAGGAAATTCCGCAGGCTGATCTTAGGGAATGAAAGAATAAGGAAAGAGTCTAAGGAGGCATTGGGGATTAATCGATGGACAGAAATAAAAACTTAGGTAGTTATAAAAACAAATAATTATGGTAGCACACCTTTGCACAAAAAAAAGTCCCCAACTTTGCTCCCAAAAGTGGTATAAGTATGAATGAGTAAGAGATGAAAGCTGTCAATTTTCCGAGTTTCTGCAAAATGTTAGAGCATGGACATTTTGGTTGGATATTGCATTTGGATCATTGCAGTCGAAGTCCCAAGTCAGAAGTTGACTTTCTTGGCCAAGGAATTAAGGATAATCTATAAGGTAATTTTCCATCGGTTTCTAAATTTGCCTTTGGTTCAGGTCTAGAGGGAATGCCTTCGCTCAAAATGATATGGTTAAATTTGGTGTGCGCCCTTGGGAAACAAACGTCCTCCTACAAAAGCATCAATGTAGGCAATGCCTACCCTCGCTATCCACACTGGTTTCACAATGTTTACACTGGTAAGGTAGAACAATTTAGCAGTTGAGCCTTACTCCTTTAGCAAATCTAACTTTCTCTTACGGAAAGTAGTAAATCTAGGTTGTTGGATAGAGTATGGTTTCCATAAAATCGTAACTGGATTCGGTTAAAGTGCCGTAAAATACAGTGAAATTGTCATCGTGAAGGCTCGATTTTAGCAAAGCGACTGAGCCTTCACTTGGAATATCCCATTATTTCTAAGAACACTAAGAAGTTAGTGGAGTGTTACGGAATTGTCCCAAATAAGCTAACAAGAGGTCAGCAAAGGGGGGGATGGCAAATGCGTGGATCAGATATTTTTCCCCCACGCATTCTTTATCATAATTTTGAAACTCAATAAAGAATGCCTACTGGGCGATTACAAATTATGACAATGTCATATAGATAGCGCATGTGCACCAACAAAAAATGAATAATTTTTAAATCTAGTTTTTATTCTTATATTTATTGGTGATCAGATAAAACCGCACACCTTAACTCAAAAAAATCTTAAAAATGTCGAACGGAGCTCCCCAAATTCTGTATCTTTGATAAGCTATTCAGGAAATGATGATATCCTAAATTTTTAACAAATTTTAAAACTTAAAATGTGACCTTATACTGTTAATAGATATTTTTATGCTTACTTAGTTTTAAAAAAAAAATGTGCAAATTCTTGGTAAGATATCTACATTTACCCTCTAAATATTAATCCTTACCCGACAAGGTCTAAAGGATGGTTTCTGAAAGTATATCTTCTTATGTTCTTCTTCGGGAAAAGTATTTATGCCATCGATACATTTGTGCAACCTTAAATTCGCCGTTTACCTTTACGATGACTATATCCACCAAAGTTGATTTATACGTTATAAGCAATGATTGTAAATTTAACTTTGAACTTATAATAGGTTTATATCAAATGCCAAATTTATCATACTCTTAAAATTAATCGTTAAAATTTATATGTGTTAGGGTTCACTGTGTTTTTTTCTGGCATTGTGTTACTATTTTTTCAACTTTAAATCACTTGAGCACCGTTTTTTTCTTAGGAAATGCATTCCATCATGTTTGGAACACCTACTGAACTTCTAAAACATAATTTAGTTTATATTAGTTTTTCCATATATTTTTATATATATATAAAAATTATAAACGGCTCAAAGGTGTTCGGCAATATTGTCTAATAGGTATTCCAAACATGATAAAATATTATTTCCGGTAAAAATCTGATTTTTAAATTTAAAAAAATCAAAAAAATTGATTTAAATTAGTAAAAAAAATATACTAATGTTGATTAATATTATATAATAATATATATAATAATATAATATACTAATGTTGATTAATATTATATATTAAATTTCACAATAATCAGGTATATAAATTTATAACGAAAAATGACTTTAATATAACACAACATCGAAAATTCCTTCAATTATATAAAAACCTTTTATCCATAATTTTTCCCAAAGATTAATTATTTATAATTTTTTAAAAAATATTTATATATATTACTACATTTTTAAAATAGTAAAACTACATATGAACTTAATATTCTCCTGGCGTAAAAATTAAAAAAGAAAAAGGAGGTGATGGCATTTAGATTTCTATTAATAAAATAGTTTATAAATAATACTCTTTGCTAAATTATTTTATATATTATAATATATTTTAATTTTGATTTATATTTGTGCCAAAAAATTGTAGAAAATTTCTCGTTTAAGAGAATGGCCTTTAAATGACCCATTGATATCATATTTTTGATATTTTTATATATAAAGATCCTTTTTTAATTTTAATTTTCTTCTTAAAATTAAAATTAAAATTAAAAAATTAAATATATTTATTATAAAGAAAGAGAGAAACAAAAAATTATATAATTTTTGTTTTGTAAATTTTTTTTTTGTGGTTTTAATTATTGTCGCATTTTACCTTTTTCATGTTTAATCGTATATATATATAAAACAAACTAAACTATAAGGCATTCATGGCTTCTTTAATTAAACTAGTAAAACCTTCACTTATTTCTATGATAATTTTTTTTTTATTATTATAAATGATGTAATTATATATATATATCTAATATACATTGTACAGGGTGAGAGATACAGGTCGGGAATTTATGCCAAAAAATTAAATTATAATTTTTTAAATTAAGAAGAAAAAAAAACGGAGAATTTATTCGCGATTGGCGCCAAAAATCTTACCATTCTAATCCGAGATCGAATTAGTGTTCCTTATGAATCGAATCCGAAAATATAACCGCGTCACTCGTAATTTAGCCGTAAAGAATGGCTCAACTTTTAACTCTCGAGGAAATCAGGAAAAGGATAACTCCAGTCACGAGAACTGATTGGAGGGAATGTTTATTTTTAAAACCCCTTACCTCATAATGATTGACTCTTTATAGGTCAATTTTTTTAAATTTAGTTAAAAAAAAAAATGACCCAACCCGATATAGGGTTAAAAATTAAATATAATTTTTTTTTTGTTGATGTAAACTTGATTGACATGTCAACCATTTTTTTTTTTTGAATAATAAGCAGAAATTAAGCTAAAAATGATTTCTAAATAATTGATCAATAGATTTTAGTTTTTTTTTTAATCCTAAGTATCAAGACTTTTTTATTCGAACTTTGTTTTTGATGAGGAATATAATGTGTCAATCATAGTCCTTAACCAATGGAAGTGGAAGCGGGAAATTTAACTTTCCTTGTCAGCTTTCCTTCCCTACTTTCCCCCCCCCCCCCCCAAAAAAAAAATGATTGATAATATAAATTCCGTTCCATATCTTATTTTTTTATATTATATTTAATTAATTATGATCATATTAACATCATAATATAAACGCAAACGCTAACGCAATACCAAAAACAATATTTAAATAAATAAAAAAAATAAATATTATTTGATTGTAACAAATAAAATAAAATAAAATGAAAATTGTTTTAAAAAAAAATTAGGGGGGTAAATAATATATTTTTTATGAAAAATATAATTTAATAATCAAAAAAATATTTTGAAAAATTTTCAAAATGTGAAGCTTGTTGTTGTTTATACGTAAAAAAAAAATTAGAGATAATTTTATTATTTGCTTAACATTTTACATAAAAACATTTTTTTTTTAAAAATATATATATTAATTAGAACAAAAAATTATCCTTAATTAAGAGAAGAGAAGAGAAGAGAAGAGAAGAGAAGAGAAGAGAAGAGAAGAGAAGAAGAAGAGAAGAGAAGAGAAGAGAAGAGAGAAGAGAAGAGAGAGAGAAGAGAAGAGAAGAGAAGAGAAGAGAAGAGAAGAGAAGAGACTAGTGTTGTTAAAAACGTCCCGATTAAGATTATAACCAAATATGTAAGCCCTGAAGATTTTGCACATATCTGGCAGGAATGCCGGGACATCTATTCCGGTTCCACCAAAATGACAAAGGCAGATTCCTGCTAGATGTTGTTAGAGGTCGGTGGAAATTATTGGAAAGAATGTGTGGGGCCATGCTTTTAGAAAATTTTTATTGCTTCTTTTTATCGAAGGTGTTCATGGTTTGATTGGAGGTGTACCAAGGATTAATACAAGAGTAGTTCCAGACTATGAATTGGTCAGGAATTTGAGGAATCCTGTCAGGAAGTTTCTCACCAGGTCTTAAAAGACCATAGTTTTAACATGTTCTAGAAAATATTTGTCTAATTAATCAAGCTTTACATTCCCTCAACGAAAGAACCGCAGCCAGAGTGTGTGTTAGGGTGACAGGTTAAAGGCATAGCAATAGCGGAGAAGAGTTCAATTTGGGTGAGTTTAAAATGTAGATTGAAGGAAATGAAATGGTTTCGAGAAACTCACAACCACAACCATATGGCAGATTATGGGTAGTCAGTTAATTGCAATCTGAAAAAATAGTAATTTGACTCAGATTGCAATTATTGACCCATCTCAATCCGCCCGCCTGTCAGTTTTTGCGGGGAGTTATTGGCCTTAATTCGGGGTTTTCATTGGATAATGGCGTCATCAAAAGGAACAATTGACTATATTATTCGTTAATAAACCGCTGTATATTTGAGATACAGATTTTTGGTAGGTTAAAAACTTTTGAGTTCAAGTAATTTCAATTTTTTTTTCTTCATCGAACTTAAGATTGCTATATTTCGAGGTCAGACTCAGATAGCATTATCATCCTATCCCAGATTTAAAAAACAAGAGTCAAAAGTAGTTTTTTATAGGATCCTTGGGATTGTTAATATTCGAAGGAAGGAGGAACAGATCCGTCATCTCAAAGAGGTTTGCGGGATATAAGGGGGTAATGGTTGTGATTAGGCGTCTTTGGCAGAACTTGATATGGGTATCGTAGGAAGTTTTGGTTAGGGTATCATGAGTTGATACCAAACTGAGAGCTCCTCTTACGTTGAGATTGTTAATTTAATTGGAAATCGATTAGACCCCATTCATTCTCGTTGCTAAATTATTTGCAATAGGAAAGATATAATTCCAATCAGCAAGAGATTCAGCAACCTGTAAATTCCCCACCTTAGGTGATCCTTGATAGAAATAAAATTTGGGAAAAGGGTCTGAAAGACTGGAATTTTGAAAACGAAGAGGTGGAAACGATGCTTTCAGGTGGAATAGAAAGCTAAAATTATTATTTTTTTTAAAAAAAATGGAATCCAACTAAAAGTCTTCAAAATTTACTTGTGAAGTCGAACTATTTAGTAAGATTAGATTCCTTTTATTTTCCTGAAATTATTTTTTTTTTCTCGAATAGAATCATTTTTATTAAATAATTTAATTCAGATATATGTTGTCCTTTTTCTAAAATTTATTTTACTTTTATTTTTTTGTATAACGTGATAATAATTAGAATTTTTTTTTTTATATATCGACTAATGATTGGCATTTACAAAAAAATTTGATTGACAGATTAAATGAAAGTGACAGGGTAGAGTCTCTCTTTGTGGAACAGTTATATCTTATTGGTTAGAGTCGGACTTTGGATTTTAGCATAAATAATAAAAAAAATATGCTTTTAATTTTTTAAATATTTTCGTAAATCTTAATAAAAAATAAAATAAATTTATCGAAGTTGCGAGTCAACGCCGATGTCCTAAATAGCCACGACATATCATCGGCTCGTAATTTACCGAACAGGCCCTCCGTTCTCAGGAACCTGGAACACAACATCAAAAGTGGCTACAAACTCAAAAAGATCAGATCATTTCCTTGTTTGACTTGCAAAAAGACCTTCGACAGGCCTTCCTTACTTATCAGGCACATTCGAGTTCACACGGGTTCGTGAATATATTCTAATAATATATTTCTCCCCCCTTTTTTTTTCCTCTAACACCTCTTTACCTAGCATTTTCCCTAAATAGTAATAACCAATTAAAATTCGACGAAATGAGCTAGCTGTATTAGGACCCTAAAGATGAGTAATAAATAATTTCTCTTTTAAGAGTCAAAAAAATTAATAAAACATTAGAAATGATCGTTTACTTTTTCTGTATTTTTTTTTTGCTAAGAATCCCTCACGGAAAAGATATAATTTACTTAAATATTTTATTGCAAATAAGTCTAGCATGATTTTATAACTCGCATAAATTTGGCTAAATTCAGTAAAATAAAAAACATAAACTGTTTTATATATATATATATATATATATATACGTTAGCCTCCATGTGTTTTTTTTGATCGCGTTTTTGAAAAAAAATTTCAAAATCTGATTTAAACCGGAAATGTACGCCGCCATGTTTGGAATTTCTAGCCCTATGAATTTCAGGGAATTTCAACCATAGACATTTTAGAATTATTTTTTATTTAAACTTTATATGAAAAATCCATATAAAAATTAATATGAATTAGGAGTCGTCTAAAGTTCGTGGCAAAATTGTTTGAAATTTACAGCTTGGGTACTCTAGCCATTGCTAGAATACATTTCCGGTTTAAAGGATTTAAAATCCTTGGGGATTTCAAAACGACACATATATAAGAACAATTTTTTTAAAAGCACATCCTTTATCCTGTGAAAGCTATAAAGCACTTCCTTCAGATTAGTTGTAGTATTATAATGTTAGGATGGGTTGGGAAAACATTTTCATAAATGTTTTTTGAAAAAAATATGGCTATTTTTTTGATTATTTATTTTATTAATGGCCTTATACTATAACAATTAACTTCGATATTTTTGATGTTAATTTGTTGCAGTAAAAATATAAATAAAATTAGATATTTTCCACATTATTTTTTTAAAAAAAAATTTTTTTCTTAATAAATTTTTGAAATCAATAGAATCTTGGGAATCTTTTTCTCAATAAGCCTAATCAGTTAATATGTCAACAAAGGAACACCTGCTCCGCCTCCCCTAACATTTTTTTAAAATGGTGTCACATACTAACTGACTCCTGTCTGATAGGTGCCAATCGTATGTTATATTTATTAATCTCTTTTCTACTTTGCCGTTTTAATTTTGGATTTTTTTTTTTTTTGCAAACATAAATTTTTAATTTCTTTCCCTGTTTATTAATTTTTTTTATTTAATTTTTAATTTTATATAAATTAATTTATTGTCCAAGAATAATAACAAAAATGTAGGATTGTGAGATGGGTGTTTTACGCGACTAAATACCCAATACGATCTAGTAAAACCAATTAAAAACATCTACAGAGATAAGCCTTTCGAGGAAGGAATACTAAATTACAATGGGCTCAATTGTTAATGTTTATAATACGATGCGTATCGTATAGTGAAAGCGATTCTTAACGGGCTTTTTGGTATCGCTAAGAATATAGGTGCAGTGCCTAGCGGCTCTGGTTATCTGCGGCTCCTATTCACAAAATTTACGAATAATAAATTTAAAAAAAAATAATTCCCTTTATTTTATTTTTTTTTTTAAATTTAATATTTTTTTAAACTATGTAATTATTTGAAAATTAAAAATAAAATTTAAAAAAAAATAGAAAATTAAAAAATTAAATTAAATTTTTTAAAAAAAAAATTCCATTTTTATAAGTGTAAAAATCCCCATTTTTGATATAAAAATAGATATAAATTTAAAATTAAATCACTTTGTTCTATAATATCTTATGTAATTGCATCTTCAATATATATAGATTTGATGTCAATAAATGACAACCCCCCTTCCCCTCATAGAAGATTCTCTGGTACCTTATATTAGTTTTTAATTTTCGAAAAAAACTTTATTCATTCGAAAATGACTGAAGCAGGAAAAGATAGCCAATCCTTAACCCTACTTCGACAGCTGGGCACGTGACATATTTAAATGAAAATGAACATCGTTACTTAACTTAATTCACCCGCCATATCATTTTGGCTTACGCGATGTTTTGGCCAATAATTTATTTTTTTCCCCTGAATTTTCATTTTTTGGAATTAATTAATCTTTGAAGATTTTGTAAATTAATTTTAGTTCACCTCCAAATTTGTAATATTTTTAAATTCATTTATTTCTCTAAAAAATAATTCAATTTTTCAGAGATATATTTGCTATGATCAGCTTATTTTGCCATGTTTTGTTATGAATTTTTTTTCGCGTAATTTTGTTTACGAAAATTTTTAAATTTTTATCCAATTTTTTTGTATAACCGGTAATTTTAGTTATGTACAAATAAATTTCAAAATTTTTCTTTTCCTTATCAATTAATTAATACCAAAATAGCAACAATATTTTTGGTGTCTTTTATCCAAAAATTGTATATTTTACTTAATTAAATAAGTGGGGTTATGTGCTTTTACCAGACTTTATCATCCATTTTCCATCTTAATGCTGAAAGGAGGATGAAAAAACTTTTAGGCGATGTTAAATAATTTAACTTTGACCAACTCCAATATGGCGTGGGCAAGATGGACTTGAACGTCTAAGTTTAGACTCAACTTAATGATAGAGACTCTTTATTTCTTTAGAACAGAAACTTGGCTATGGCCGATTTAGAGCTGGCCCAAAGTTAGATGGTTAAGCAATGCTAGATCAAACAAATGCTTCTAAGTCGCATTTGGGAAATCGTTAGCAAATCAAATCAATATATATAATTAAAATAACTAAGAAAGAGTTTTAGTGCCTACCCCCCCTCCCCCCCATCACATTAAGTCTTATTTGAATATCATAATTTTTGTTGACAAGGGCAAAAAAAAAACAAACCCGGTGGGATAATGCGGCCTGGCATAAACGCAAGCGTGTTCTTAAAGGACGGGTCGATAGAATAGCGTGCGAAATAAATGGAATTAGCGTCCCTAGAAAATAATTTATTGGTGACGATCTAAGCACACTCTTTAGTCCTGTAAATGGCAGATCCACCCCATGCATAGAGGCATTGATTGGTGTAAGTGGGGGTGGTTTGGCAGCAAAGCGATTATTAACTGCCAACCATTGGGGGTACACTACGGAAGGTTTGGCGGCATTAGACTTAGGATGGTCCGCGGGGACCCTGGGAATATTTTAGGTTGATCCCCACATAAATCTCCGAATAAACCCGAAATATTTTTTTTGGATATACAAGGTTTTATTACGCCTTTCTAAGTTACTGCTCCTTTTTGGGATACTTTTATTCAGAGTTGTTAAAGGATCTAGATATAAAAATGTGGTATCTGTGTCTGTTATCTAGATAGATTTTTGATTAAAATATCGGTATCTAGATATTATTTTAGACGATGTATCTGTATCTAGATCCATTTAAAAAGTATCTTTTAACAACTCTGCTTTTATTGCATAAGAATCTTGGTAAAACTAAACATCGTTACTTAAATTACGTACGAATGTTAGGGCAATTTACTCAAAAAAAATTAGATAATTTATCCTTCACTTAAAAATAGCATCAGATTTTGAATAATTAAATATTCAAGTTTCGTCGTAATTCCTTTTTTTTTGTTGAGAATTCTAAATAGTTACTTCTAATAAAAATATGATTTTTTGGAGTTAATTTTTTTAGATATTTAGGATAAAGTAGACCTTTAAAATTATTTAAAATGTATCGACCCATTTATTACCTTATATCAAAATCTTCCATACAAATCAGAGAGACCTGCAGAGGTACCATTTGCACGGCCCGGCCGGGTTTTTTCGGACCCGGCCCGGATTTTTTTCGGAGCCGGCCCGGGTTTTATATTTTCAGGCCCTGTCCGGTTTTTTATTTACAAAAAAAAATTTTTAGGTCGGCCCCGGATTTTTTTTTTAAAAAAATATTATATATTTATTTTTTTTATTTTTATAGTATAATAATGGCGATTTCGAATATTTGATACAGCCCGACCCCCCGGGTATATTTAAAAAAAGCCGGGGGGGGGCGGGCTCAGGACCGGGTCCGCAGGCCTCTTATACAAATATTTAAAGAGTGTGTTCTTCTAGCAACTTTCTGTATTTTTCTGAATTATTGATCTTATTTCAAAAAAATTAAAAGACGATTTAAGGAGAAGCCCTCAAGACATTTTGCTTATTTTTTTATATACATAAAATAACAAAAATCTTAAGGAGAAAAGCCGTTCTCTTGCGAGTACTGCGCGAAATGTTTCAGCACCACGAGCTCCTTGAACACGCACATACGGATTCATACGGGAGAAAAGCCCCACGCCTGCTTCGTGTGCGGAAAAAACTTCACGGCCAGTTCCAACCTTTACTATCATAAAATGACCCACATTAAAGTATTTCATTCTTCTCTTCTCTTCTCTTCTCTTCTCTTCTCTTTATCTTCCTTTTTTTTTCTTTCGAATTTATAAATATTTAGCCATCGTAATGTTATTAATTGATTAATAAGAATTAAGTTAACTTGCTTTAACCCTAAAACCCATTTGATTTATCATTTACATTTTTTAAAAAAAAAATAAATCATATAATTACAATCTATCAATTTATAAAATACTGATATTAGACTTACATTAACAACAAAGTATAATATAATAAATCACAAACCAATATCAGTATTATAGTGCGCATGCGCACAAATTGAGCGTTTTCGAATGCTGCGTAACGAGCGCAAATAATGCATTTCAAAATGGCCTCGTGCAAATTGGTAAAAATTACCGTTTGGGCGGTAGCAACCATTTTTAAAGAATACGCAAATAAGTTTGCTTTTTCATTACTTTTTTTTTTATTCTTCGCTTTGTAATCTAATCTAATATATATAATCTCCGCAATCAAGAAATGAACGTTTTCGTATAATCTTAATGTTATTTTATATCTATCAACTTTCCTATCATTTTGATGTTAATAAATCGCAGGAGACTATATACCTTCGTTAAATTATCCATTTTAAAAATTTTTTTTTTATACATCAGCGAGATTCGATCCCCAGACTTAACGTTCCATAGGCAAAACGTTCTTTCCAACTCAGCCCCCCTTCTATCTTAAGTTTTGTAATACAATTCTTCTTATACATGAAACTATTTTGATAAAGTAATTTATTTATATCAATATTTATTTTTTTGGAAGTTCCAGGCTTGGAGAAAAAAATTTTCAAAATTATTATCGGTTGGCCAGGTTTGAGAAAAAAATTTTGAAACTATAATGGGTCGGGCAGGGCTTGGAAAATATTTTTATTAATTATATTGGGCTGGACTTGGGCAAAATTTTTAAATGATTATCAGCTTGGACGCTTGGGAATTTTTTTATCATTAACTATGGATCAGACATTGACCCAAAACAAATTTTTTTTGCAGGCCTTCCAATTCTCAACTACCAAAATAATTATGATCTTTGGTTGAGGTTAAGGAAATTTTTCAAAATTATTATGGGCTTGGACCTTGCTTGGCAATTTTTTTCAATATTAAATATTAGGCACAGGTGATCAGTAACATTTTAACAGATTACCATTGATTATGGGATCAAAAAGCTTTAAATATGTTTTGACTCAAAACATAGCATTTAAACTTAGTTTTAATGGATTCGACTTGGCCTGAAGGCGGGAGGGGGTTATAAAGAATAAAAATTGGATATTAATTTCGAATAACTGGTAACAACTATTATAAGAGTAAGGAGAAAATTCTCATTCCCCGTCATTTTTGACGGGCTCAGCAATACTGACCAACGGGAGCTCTGGTACTCTTAGTTATATATTTTTCATTTTGCCCATCAAGAAAGACGGGTCATCATACTTTTAAATCTCATGAGGTGTGGTGTGATTCACAAATTTACCTCTTTTTCCCCTAAATTTTAACATTTTTATAAAAATATTTTAATAAAGTATAATTAATACCATATTCACAAACTAATTACCCTTCAACCCCGTCATTCTTGACGGGTCATTAGCTAGTATTATATAAAAATGTAATATAGATAACTTACTTATTATCCCTAAAAATGAAATATTTCGAAAATTAAAAGAAATAAGAACGCAGACGATAAATACAATTTTCGAAGACAGAACATATTTAAAATTTTGAATCGAAGATATTAATAAAAAGGCAACCCGAATTTGAACAAGGGACGCGTTACGTTTTTTTTATATTAAAAAATTACCGCGAAACGTAAACGTTCAATTTGTGTGTACTATTATGATCAGACGAAATCATTATTTTTGTTTCGTAAGATATCCATGGTCGGTCCGATTGCCGCGAAGTCTTTTGTGGGAAGTATCAAATTATGGTATATTGATTTAATACCGTCTGCATTGATTACTTCCGGCTTCAAATAGGGCGTGACCATGGATATAATTGTCGATGGCAAATATATATATTTATATGATTGGCTTTGTTCATTTATAATGTTATAATCTATCTTATCTAATCAAAAATAATCCATTTTAGTTAAATTATTCCGAATTTTTAAACTTAATTTTAAGATAAAACCTCACAAGTGTAAATACTGCGACAAATCTTTCGCCACTCCCGGTGACTTAAAAAGTCACTCGTACACTCACACCGGAAATTGGCCCCTAAAATGCAAAGATTGTCACAAAGGATTCAGCAAGATGAGCAACCTTAGGACCCATATGGCGCTGCATAATAATCATTTTAAATCGCAAAACAAAAAGGAAATAGATTTTGAAAAGGCATAAAATGCGCAACGTATCCGACGTCTAAGTTTTAATAATGGAAACGCAAAAGTAAAATGGCCACTATAAAATAATGATGGGGAAAAAAATATTTTCGATTTAACGCGTCCAAACTAGCTTTCCGGTGAGTTTTGCGCCATCTAAATGAAAAAACGTTATACGATTATACAATAAACACCAATTTTGCTCAATAAATTAAAAATATATTTATTATAATATCGTTTAGAAAAAAAGGGGAAAACGGAATTTAATTTATATTTTTTTTTGTGGAAATTTTTTTTTAATATATTTAGTATTTATATTTATTATAAAAAATTTAATAGGAAAAAAATAATAAAATATTTTATGGTATTAATTTTACGTGAAATGGGTTAGATGAAAAATGACAGGTGATTCTCATTTTTTTGATATTTCGATGAAAACAAAAATGGTTATTAAGGATATTTCAGACATTTTAAATTTTCGGGCCTCTTACATCCCGAGAAAAAAAGTCTTCCGTGTCCGAGCCCGACCCGTGACAGCCCGTGTCAGGACCCTAAACCGATAACGGAACCAATGTCTTATAACTAAACTGACTATGCATTTAAAAGTGCACATCAAATGAAAAACAGCTGGGGACGCCATTTTGATTACCCGTATATCATTGTTAAAAATTTTAAACGAGAGGCCAATCCTATGTCTGACGTAAACTTTATCAAATAATTGCCTGATCATAGAGATGATATGAGGAAGCGAGTTATCAATTTAATGGTAGTTCTCAACACGAGAATATTTACTATACGGGTTACCAAAATGGCGTGGCCAGCTGATTCGCGTTCAACGACGCTTCCAAATGCATTGTCAGCAGCGTCTACATGACAGTATATTTACTGGATGCAACCCCCCCCCCCCCCTCAAAAATATATATCTACCCCCTCCCCCTATATACCAAAATGTTATCCATAGATAATTTAAAAAATGTAATGGAAAATTTTCTAGATTATTATAGCCTACCCCTTTATAGATATTAGGATGCAAACTGTTCCTACCTCCCACCCCGTTCATGTAGACGCTGATTGTCAGTCTAGGTATTATTATATGTCATTGAAGGGAACACAGTTTAAAAGTTATCATATCAGCATTTATTTGGTAAACGACACCTAAATTTGATTTCAAATGAAATAAGACCCGTATATAACTAAGACCTGCAAGCTCTAGGCCCGGATACACGGGTGGGGCCGTATTTTTTTTAAAAACCGCCGGGTTGAATATTTTAAATCGTCATTAATATAACTAAAAAATTAACCGAGCTTGACAATAAAAAAACCCGGGTGGTCGGGCCGAAAAAATTCGACATGTAAATGGTACCCTTATGACAGGTCTCTGATATTTATATTAAATATTTGATTGCTGTGTTCAAAATTATGCCTTGGCCATATCTACTATATTATGCGCATTCCCCATAGCACAGAAATACCTTGGGTGGTTAGCTTCAGAAAAAAATTTTGTCCCATCTGGAATCAAACACGGGTTGAAGCTAGCTGCTGTAGTTCCTTATAAATCAAGGGCCTTTAGCCGCTGAGCCATATATGCCACTCCAAAACCCATAATATTTTTTTTTTTGAATATAAAAATGACGAAATCTACTTTTAAACGAATTTCCAAAAAATAGGCATCTGTCGATTGTTAGCGACGCTAGTTTTTTAAGACACAAAATAAATATTTGAAATTTTACAAAAATACACTCTTTTTTTAAAGATGATTTTACCTTTTATTGAAGAAATGAGAGATTTATTCATTATCATTTCTTCTTTCCTTTTTCTCTTAGTAATACGATATAATCGTGATATTTACAAAATAATGCCATATTATAAGGTTAAAAAGATTTACAAAATTTTATCGAATGGAAGTGTGAGATTTATAAAAATATTTTTAAAAAAATGACGTATAATTGTTTCCTCAATAATTATTAGAAAAGGGTTATTGAGAATTCTGTCACAACTTTGTAACGAGTTCCTTAACACCAGAGTGCTCATCCCCGTCTGGCTCTGACGGTATATCGGCGGGGAATATTTTCCCGGATTTAGCGTGAATATCATCTCGGAAATTTTGATTGGTGATACCTTGACGATTCGTTGGACCGATAGGAAAATCAGTTTTACGATTCAAATCTTTAATAGGAATGGAATCGTCGAATATCGCTTCCTCCATTTTTTGTCTGGGTAAAGTGGGCGAGCGGGTAAGTAATCGGGGACCGGCCTTATCTATAGCTATAGCCCCCAGCGGAGCCGTTACAAGAATCACTATGATAGAGGCTATAAGGACCTGATTGTTTAATGTGTTTGTTATCGGTAATAAATGTAAAATAAATAATGTAGGGGGTTGTGAGTAGAAAAACTGTGGAAGCATGGGTTTGCAAGTCATTGGCTCGTTAATTTTCGAAACATATTTTCAAATTTTTTGAGGTAAATAAATAAAACATATAATATTTTAATAAAGGGAAGGAAGGAATTAAAGAATAAAAGAAATTTAAAAAAAAAAAATAAATCAAAGATTTTAAAACCATTCTAGCTAAGTTCATCGTTGTCTCTGGAGATTGCCTAAGAATAGCTGTATCCAATGCTAATGATCCTATGGCAGCCTGCAAATATGAATGCACATTGATCCATAAAAATAAAATAAATTTTTGTAAAATAAGTAGATGGAATTACATTTTAAGCTACCATTGAGGTAGAATAGATCCTTAGAAAGAGATGTTAAATTGAAGTCACAAGTTAATCATTATTTGACAAGATTTCTAAAAAAGTAATCGTATATAAATTTTTTTTAGTTTAATGGAATATGTAACTTGAACTGTAGCCTTAGGTGTCCAGGTTATTCCCACGAACAGCTTTTCCTTCCAAGTGAATCCAATGTTCGTGACCGAGAGAATAGCAAGCGAGGCTCTAGCGATGAGACCAACCACTATCAGCAGGATGCAGTAACCTTTGTAAAATATGAACTAAAATGAACCAGTGAAGATATAGGGGATAAGTGAAGTCAAATAGCTAATAAATCCTCTTCATTAGTTCGTTCATTCTCGGCTTAAAGAAGGGGAAAGTTAATCATCATATTGAAAATATAGTATTTATTATCATATTTACCAATCAAAAAAATAAACCTAGAAATTTGAGTTGTATGGAGTAGATGTCCATTTGAGTGCCTATAAGCCCGAATAAGAGGGGCTGGAAAAAGTCCCAGATGAATTTGAAATCTCTGCTGACGACATTCTGAATATGGTATATAATTGGATACGTATTTATTTCGAGGTCCGCTAAAATCCGACCCAACACACCCAGGGTTAATTTTTTTTAGGTGGGGTCGTATTGGGTATGACTCAAAAAAATTTTTGAATTTGATCAGTGATCTCGAACAAATGATGGTTTGAATGTTGTATATGTATTATTTTACAATTTTATTCCCTTTTTTTAGAATGTTTCTTTGTATAACATAGTAAAATAAAATAAATAAATATATTTTATATTATTTTGATTTTTGGGGTCGGATTGGAAATATGGGATTAATCTTATGTTCAGGCCTGGATGGGATTCGCGGAAAAATATAATTATTTTTCGTACAGATCTTATCAGGTCTCTAATTTGAGATATTATATTATTTTTGAGTCATAATGAAATTAAGATAACCCTAGTTAACTACCCACATATCACCCATGAATTATGGCCAACCAAGGTTAAATCGCATAGTTGAAAGAGGGGATAAACAATAATGATTCGAGAGAACAACTAATTCCCATAGTAGTCTATGATCATCCTTCATAAAAAAAAATGGTTTATGATAAGAATTCAGAGCAATTGGAATGTATAAGACACACAACAGAAAACCTAATCAGATTGTGCGTAGAACTATAGTTGCAAATGTTTCAAGTAAGGTAGGCTTGAGAATGGAGATTTTCCTTGGGTAGCATATTAATAAAATATTTCATAAAAGGATTAACAGGAATTTATGGGGGGAAAAATGTCTTAAACGAGATAAGATAATATATGCTTTATATAAAAAATTAAAATTAAAAATACAAACATCGTATTTATTTCCTCGTTTGAACCAGCCATAATTTGCAACGAGAGTGAGCGTAAGGGTCCCAAATGCCCCGGCCCCGGAAAAAGTAGCCAATTTTCCGCCGAAAACCGCAAAAACGCCGGCAGACGCTAAAAGACTGTACCTGAACCGAGACTTGAACGGTTCCGACTAACGTGTTAATAAATTAATAAGAATAAATAAATATTATAAAATTGAGGCAACTTTCAAGAATACTGGAATAACCCTGACTTATAAACAAAGATAAATGGAATAGAAATTTTAGCTAAATGAGAATTTGCAATGTAATGTAATATTTCTAATATTATGTTTAGCGATTCAAAAAAAAGAAGCTTAGCTATACTCTAACAGAGATCCCAGAGTGCCTCACTTTATAAATGTGCAATTTAGCTAAGATATTATATATAATATTAATTTTTGTATTCATATCATGTATCATATTTGTAAGCGATTTCCCACTCAACTAATTCATAGGAAGGAATATACCAGAATAAGACACCAACGCCGAACCCATATAAGAGCCCTATCAGAACTTCGAGAGGTCCGTGCAGCACTGTGAAAGTTAGGCTTTCTTCTAATAGAGAATTTAATATTTAACAAAATATATTATTTTATTTGATAGTTTTTGAATTATTTATTTCGAAAATTTGATAACTCCGTTATTTATAAGAGTGTTGGGTTAAACTTGCCTAATTAGCTTAGAAATAAAAGTAATTTTTTTTTCTTCTTTATTAGTTTAACATTCTAAATTTTAGGGCCTAGCCATGCTGTTAAAGCACTAAATGCTCAACAAACTGATCTAGTCATTTAAATAACTTATTACAAATAAAGAAAATCATAAAACAACAGATGTATTATGTATTTGATAGGTAGCTAAAACATATACTATGTTCGGGGGTAGGTTGGGCTAATTGAGCGAAAATGGCGAAACCCATAATGGCGATGGTGCCGTCTATACTCGAGGCAGCGAGGATGAGGGTGGGAATACCTTTGTCGATGCCGTAACCCAACTCCTGTATCTTGACCAGTTGGGGTACTATAACGGCGGGTGAAAGTGGGCTCATCACAAAACTAGTTTTCATAAAAATAAATTTAAAAAAAAAAATAAGCAATTATAAATTCGATATAATTAAATTATTAGTTTTCCGCCATAAAAAAACGTAAATAAATATAAATCCGAAACAGCTGTTTACTAACCTAAAGAAAGGCAAGGGAGCCTACAAAAAAAAAATATGCGGAGAGACAAATCAATTATTAGACCTGCGCTTCTGCCATTGGCCAGCGCCGATATTTTTGATCAGGAGGAAAACATCACCGTTTAAGAGAATCGAATTGACGCGCCGCTGAAATTTCATATCGACAAACGCGTGGGCGGGCGCATAAATTTTTTTACATTTTTTTTATCCTAATAAATGGTCATTGTCACTGTCGTGATCTGCTAAACTGTCAACAGATAAAATGCCTGAAATACAGCACTGATCCTAACCTGATATCCGGTTTCAAATTAGCGAATCCAATGATGATAATATCAATGAAGCCCTCAAAAGGAAACGTCAAAATTAAATTTCCCAACCAGATGGGAAAGCATATTCGTAAAAAAAACTCTCATGTTTTTGAAAAGAATTGGAAACCATTATTTCAAACTTCCTAACTATGCTTCGAAACCAAAACTTTTAATCGAAACTTTGAAGAAACTGTTGCGAATTTCTATATTCGCAATAAAGGCCTATTAACTAAACTCGGTATTACTTAACGGAAGTAAAATTGAAACGCGTAAGCGATGTAGCTCCGAAAATCATTAGCGCTTATGGGAAATATGTTACAAAAACTAGCGTTAAGATTTCCCGTTCAAGATCTGTCAATAATATTCTAAGTGATTTCACTTTTTATTTCAAAATAATTATGTCAAAAATATATAATGAGAGCGAAATTGTGTAATCGTCGAAGCCAAAAGGGGGGAAAAACAAATAAAAGTTATCTGATTATGTCAGCAAATAAACATTCTACAACAAAAGCACACATTATGAATCCTCTTTAAGCCGCCCAGAACAAGAATTCCGTATTCCTCTCGGAAAAACGCCATTCGCGGGATACGGATATTCCTACAATTTTTGAGGTCGAACTTCTGGATCTTCCCACGTTAGCCAAATAAATTTACGTTGTTTCGGCACCTAGCATAAGTCAGTGACGTATTCGCTCTACCCCATTGGGTTGATATGGAATGATTATTTTTATTTCCGGCAAAATTATTTTTATATTTTGAAGTTCGAATTTATAGTTATTCTTTCTTAAATAAAAAAAAAAATGTAAAAATATATCGATACATCTGTAGCGTCCATTTTTAATTTAATTTAGTGATTTTTTTTTAAATTTATTAATTAGCGATTTAAATATTTTTTTTACGCCGCCTATATCAACGGCGGCAAAATAAGCAACGCGCCGCCGGCCTCCGATAGTTCCGTCAGAAAAACGGGTCTAATTATCGAGAAGCTAATAACCGAAAGAAAAAATCGCGACTAAATAAGGGCGGAAAAAATGGGAAAAGTAAATAACCCCATGACAAAGCTCCAAGCCCACGGAAATGCCAAAACGTAACGCGTCACAATGGCTATCGCGATAGCTTCGCCTATGCAAGGAACGCAGGAGAGAAGGGTCACGAGACATTTGAAGCGCAATAATACGGCCGAATCACATTTGAGACCCCCGTGGATAAGAATTATTACTAAGGAGAGGCTTCTGTATTAATAAAAAAAATATATATATATATAATTTTTCCTGGTGTCTGACTCTCTCCTGGAGATACGCATGTTAGCGGCAGTGTGTTTATTTATGTCAACTTTAAATCATTTTTTTGAGCGCGTTTTTTTTAAATTTGATAAATTTGATTTTACCGGGAAATGTGATTCATCATGTTTTGAAATATGTATAACCTACGAATTTCGGACAATTTTGTCATGAACCTTTGAGAACTTAATATTAGCCATATGAGAATTTTCCGTAGATTTTTCACAAAAAATGACTCAAAAAAGTCAACGTTAAAATAAATCCGCAATTTATAAGCTAGGTATTCTCAACATCCGGCAAAATCAGAATTTTTAAAATTTAAATAATTTAAAATTGTAAAAATAACATATGGCCGGAAAAAAAAGACATTGACACCACTAACACAGTAAAATTTATATTTAAATTTTATTATAAAATCAAATTAAAAAAGAAATCAATATTAATTAAATATTAAATATTGCCAAAAATTATTTAATATTATAAAATAGTTGTATATTATATATATGCATTGTCAACATTTAATTTATTATCTAACTTTATGACTATACTCCATCTGAGATTTATATCTTTGGCTATATTGATAGCTGCAATGTTTCTCAAAAGTATACCAGCAATCAGCATACCTTTTTGATGTATCATTTATTTGCGTTTGTAAAATTTAGATTTTGTGGCATAAAGTATCGATAAATAAATGTATATAGGGTGATATTTTTAGGTAAAAAAATTATATTATTTAAAACAGATAATTGAATCGAATATAGGATATCGATTAAAATAGATAAATAACCCTATCCTGTCTATCATTACCTCCCCTACAAATATTCATTTAAGTAAGTAAGAAAGAAAGAAAGAAAGAAAGAAAGAAAGAAAGGAAAGAAAGAAAGAAAGAAAGAAAGAAAGAAAGAAAGAAAGAAAGAAAGAAAGAAAGAAAGAAAGAAAGAAAGAAATTCGACCCAACCAAAGACAAACATTTTTAAAGATAATAATTAACCAAAATATAACTTTTCTTCAAAAAAAAAATACAGGTTGGAAAAAAAACTTATACAAAATGTATTTTACAAATAAAATAATTAAGGACTGGGCTAGCTAAATTCCACGGAGGTTTCTAACAAACTCTGAATAATATATCCTCATCAAAGTTGGCATTAGATGGCTAGAACGCAATAATATCTTTAAAATTGCGGGGGGGGGGGGAGGTAAGATTATTTATTATTCAATAGAATTAGAATCAGGTTACAAAATTTTGCTAAATAAGAGTCTATCCTGAGGAAAAAAAATGGAAGAATATTTTGTGATATGCATAGAATCCTAAAATCATGTCAAAACCCTAAGAAACTGTCAAAAAAAGATAATAATTACATACAATGTTGCCTATAAATTTAAATTATTTAAATGAAGTGTAAAATATAGTGTCGCAAATCTGTACTAATTTGTGATTATTTATTATAATGTAAATCCTTCAACGATATTATATAATATCATGAAATTACAGAATACCCCAATGGCAATATTACAATATAAACCAAAACGAATGTAATAATAATCCTTGATTGACAGCTCTCAAGACTATAACGTCAATCACCCCCCCCCCCCCCCTTTTACTAATCCTACAGTATACCATTAGCCTTAAGATCACCCCACCACATTCCATTCGCATTTGAAATTCACCAACGAAACCCAACTTCATTTTCTGCCCCATAAACCCATTCCTCCTTCCTTTTGCCCATTTCATTGATCATCCACCTTAAGATCATCATGCGATCAAACATTCCATCTGTTCCATTTTGCCCCCTAATCACTTCCACCAACCATGGAACCATTCTGTATATCTATCCATTTGACCTATGCCCACCTTTCCTAAACCTAGTCATATTCATTAACCACAAGATCCTCCCATATGATCAATAATAAGAATGATATATGGGAGAAAGCGCCAACGGGTTGGTGAGCGATTACACGCGGAATTTTTTTTTTGAGTTAGACAGGAAGTACTATTTTTTGGTGGTGGAGGCTTATAGGAAATGGATAGATTTCAGTTTGAGTGACGGGTTTGACGAAGAAAAATGGTGATTAATAAAAGGATTAAAGAATTTTCTGGGCGTTATTGTATATATTGAGACAATTGTTTCGGGTGGAGGTCCAGCTTTTCAGAGTAAGGGGTTCAAAGGAGTTTTATGCCAAAGTGAGGTGGGGATAATTTATATATCCTGTCAGGTCACCCCCTTGACTATCCTAGGTCGAATGGGCAGGCCGAACGAATGGTGGGAATAGTGAAGGGATGGTTGAAGAAAGAGATGTGTGGGAAGGGAAAGCTGCGGTTAGCATAGTTGCTCTATAATAATTCAACGAGGGAGGCTGGATCGCCTGCAGAATTGTTTTTGGGGAAGAAGAACAAGGAAACCATTAGATATATATATATATAAGAGAAAGAAAAAAAGGGGGATAGAGCAGACGTGGGGAAGAAGTCGATGTTTAAGTTGGGAATGACGGTATAGGTATTAGTATGGAATGGACCACGCAAGTGGGCGAAGAGGAGTGGTAACGAAAAATATTAGGCTGAAGAAAGTGGAGGTTAGATAGAGGGGGGGGGAATGCAGTTATTAGGCACACGTTAAACAATTGGGAATACGGGTTTAGCGGGAAGTAAATGATAATAAGGAAATTGTATTAATCAGGACGGGGAAGTGTAAAGAGTAAGATTTTTATAATGGAATATTTTTTTTTTGGCTAACTTAGATGGAATTTTTTACTGAACTTTATATTAGGTTTTCTGATTTTAAACCTCGTCAGAATTTATCTTCACAAATTTTGATCGAAAATATAATCAAAAGATTACTTACATACAGATGTCAAGGCTAAATGGGAGACAGGAGAAAGAAACAAGAATATCTAGATTGTCATGGTATAAATGAAAGAGTAATTGCAATAATTAAGGATATTACGTGCAAGTAGTGTTGTTAAACGGGTCGTTTTGAGGGCTAACTCAATATTTTATCCAGAAAAACATTAGGGAAGCCTGAAAATTTTGCTCATAGAAGGAATTCAAAATCTCCAGGCTTAAGCAATATTTTTCTGGCTAAAATATTGAGTTAGCCGTTTAAACAACACTACGTGCAAGTAGGAGGATTAGAAATTTTAAGGAGGATATTGCTTTTGTTGGTATGCTAAGAAACAGTAAATTTAGGTTGTTGATATATATATTAGTTCGTAAATTTAGATTAATTCTTATTTTATAAATTAGGTTGACATATATTATAAGGGAGTCACGTGGTCGAGTCCGATCTCCAATATATCACCCCCCCCCCCCAAAGGACGGAAGTATTATCGATAAATATATGTTTGTTTTGGTGAATGGCGAAAATAGAAGGTTAAAAAAGTAGTGAGTAAAGATGCAGCTGTTAAGCCATTTTTTTTTGTTGTTGTTTACTATAGGAACAAAATATCGATGTGTTAGTTAAGGCTATGTCCTAAATCTGGTTTGATTTTAAATTTTAACCAAATCGTATGTTGAAATATTTTTTAAATATTTTATAGAATTATGCTTAGGACACATGTTTTTATTTTTATATTTAAAAACAGCTGATTTCCTTCTTCTTCTTTTTTTTCGTTAAAGTTTCGAAAAGTTTACTAATTATATTTTCGATATGTAGGACACAGCCTTAAAGGAAGATGTAAATGTTTATTTTAAGAATTAAATGTTTTTTTTAAAATTAGAATATAAATTTAAAAGTAATTATTTTTGGTTTGATAATTTATTTTATATTTATTTAACGAAATGTGGAATAAACAATATTAATGTCGTATTCATTTACAAGTTATTTCTTCGTAAAATAATAAGTAAGATATCGATTTAAGATTATTAATTAAATATATCATTAGGTTTATTATTAATAGGATACGATTAAAAGAAGAAATTTTTTTGGTTGGACAACTTTATCTCAGTGAATTAATTATGGAATTTGTAAGGTAATTGGAGGGATTTTTGGGTGTTAATTTGTTGGTTTGAATGTGATGTTGATATTTCACAGACGAGATTTTGTTTGTTAATTATGATATTGTAATTGTAATCGTGGATTATTTATGTTGAAAATGGTTATACGATGATTCAAAGATATTATGATTGAAATTGGAATTTAGGGTAATATTTTAATTGGATAATGAAATTTGAATTCTCATCGAAAACTGATTGGATTGGTTGTTTTTTTTCTGCCAATTAGGAATTATTGTTGGACTGTCTTATTTCGACAATATTGATGGTGATTGTTATGGTGATTATGAAGGAAAAGTGGGGTGGGAGGAAGGTAAATGATTGTATATGTAAATTTAAAATCAATATTTAATGTTTGATTGGACACATGTATGTTACTCGACCACGTGATTCCGTATTAATATATTAAATAATAAGGGACTTATTACATTTTAATAAATTATGGTCGTTGTTTAGCAAATTAGGTTGGTATTTAAAATATTTGCATACATTCACTTGGTAGTAAGCAGCAGGCTAATGATAATGCACGCTAAGCGTGCACTGTTTTTTCATGATTTTCATAAATTACCTAGCACGCCAAAAACGTCATATGTTTATTTTTATATAAGTAAATATATAAACTTACGAATGTAAATATTATTGTTTATTATTTTTTTTAACTAAACAATTATTTAAACATTCAATTTATATTATAAGAAGTAATCGTATTTAATATACTTAGTTATCAATATTTAAAATTTAATAAAAAGCATTGTTTTAATACGTTCTTTTACAGTACCTTGATAGCCAAGTATTTTTATACTCAATTTATATTATAAAAGAATAATAATTGTTTAATTTATAGTTATGCTTATACAGGCACACTGGACAGGTTAAATGTTAGCCTTTGTGCTACCCACATGGTTAAATTAAATATACTACCCCTTATTTACCATCTCTCTATTAATTCAAGATCATGATATAAATATTAGCACAAAAAAATCCAAATAATAATGATTATTAATTTATACCCAACTCATTAATATTTTTTACCCAACTCAGGCCAAATAAAATTTTTAAAATATTGCTCAGACTGGCCTATCATGAATATTTTTTTTAAAAAATCTTGGTAACAGATTAAATCATGGGGAAATTTTCATATATTATTTTTTTTAAAATATACTTTTTTATTTATTATTTTTTTTAAATTTAAAAAAAATCTTAAGTATATTTAAGAATTTAGAAAAAAAGAGTATATTTAAGAATTTAGAAAAAAAGAGTATATTTAAGAATTTAGAAAAAAAGAGTATATTTAAGAATTTAGAAAAAAAGGGTATATTTAAGAATTTAGAAAAAAAGAGTATATTTAAGAATTTAGAAAAGCAGTATATTTAAGAATGTAATAAAAATAGGCAACATGTGTGGTTGATAAGAAACTCATGATCTTTTAAAAAAGCCATGGTCCTTGTATAAGAAATACACATATTGGTGAAATTTATGTTATCCATAAAGAGGTAAAATGTTAAATTTAAAAAACTTTGATATTGATTGTATCAAAAAAAAAATCTAAAAATACGCCAATTGAACGAAAAAGGTAACATTCAAAAATTTCTACCAAAATCCAGACGATCTAAAAAAAAAATAAAAATAATATATGAAAATTTCCTCATGATTTAATCTGTTACCAAAATCTTATATTAGATTCTTATTTATGAATATCAAAGCAATTTTGATTTAGATGAAGAAATAACTTCTACAAGTCAAAAAAAAATTAGAAGTAACAATGCATATTTTTTTTAATATGGTTATCTATTCTATAATCTATTTCATAGGTTGGAGCACAATTTGAATCATTTAATGATTTGCGAGAAGCTATAGATAAATATGAAAATCTAGTGTTTACTAATTACCATATAGCAACATGTACCAAGCTTGGTAATTTTGATGAAAACATAATTCAAACAATACAATATAAATTATACGTTATGTTTGTATCCATGGAGGAAGACACTTTAAAAGTCGTGGGAAAGGAAAACGACTCACCCAAACTTTACAACTAAATTGCCCACACAGCTTTTCAGTAAAGCACATAATAATAGGGGATCTACATAGGCTAGAGGTTTCCAAAATGAATAGTGGGCATAATCATGATTTGGGTATATATTTTTAAGAAATATACAATTTTTATTTATTAATTTAGATTATAATTTATAATTTATTCATGCGTTTACCTAAGCAACGTAAAATAAATGATGAATCAAGATCATTAATTGTTAAGTGCTTAGAATCTGATGCTTTAATTCCTAAAATAAAATATGACCTCCAAAAAAATAGTAATTTATGCTACAAATCGTGATTTATATAATATAAAAAAGAAAATACTATATCAACCAGGGGACTCTGAGCTCTTGGATGTTATCAACTTATTAAAAAATCAAAACCCTGATAATATTATCAAAATAGTTAGTGAAAATAATAGCCTTCAGGGGATATATTACCAGACCCCAAATATGAAGGAATACTTTAGTGCATTTCCAGAGATTCTCCTGGTTGATGCAACTTATAAATTAAATTATTATCAAATGCCAGTATTTACTCTCTTTGTTATTGATGGCAAAGAACAAACGAGATTTGCTGCTATCTGATGAGACCACTCGTGTCGAATGTTATGCCAATTATTATTAAAATATTCTTCCACATCTGGAAAATTTAATGCAACCAATGAATTATATATTTCCCAATAATGCTTTTCTGTTTTTGAATATATGATTTTTTTCAATAAATTTAGCACAATTTTTACTTGTGTAGAATTTATATTTCTCTTTTTAGCAGTTATTTCTCTAATAAATGTTTGTTGAACATGAAATATACATATTTCAAGAGAGGCCATAGGAAAGGCTTCTCTATAAGCATGCCTATCAGCAAAGTCTTTGTCTGCGATTATTACTTTAATTTTGTTATTATTATCATTGTACGATTTAAATAAATCACACATATTTTTAACAATTAAATAATTCTCAGATTTGACTATCTAGATAGCAGCAAATCTCGTTTATTCTTCGCCATCAATAACAAAGAGAGTAAATACTGGCATTTGATAATAATTTAATTTATAAGTTGCATCAACCAGGAGAATCTCTGGAAATGCACTAAAGTATTCCTTCATATTTGGGTCTGGTAATATATCCCCTGAAGGCTATTATTTTCACTAACTATTTTGATAATATTATCAGGGTTTTGATTTTTTAATAAGTTGATAACATCCAAGAGCTCAGAGTCCCCTGGTTGATATAGTATTTTCTTTTTTATATTATATAAATCACGATTTGTAGCATAAATTACTATTTTTTGGAGGTCATATTTTATTTTAGGAATTAAAGCATCATATTCTAAGCACTTAACAATTAATGATCTTGATTCATCATTTATTTTACGTTGCTTAGGTAAACGCATGAATAAATTATAATCTAAATTAATAAATAAAAATTGTATATTTCTTAAAAATATATACCCAAATCATGATTATGCCCACTATTCATTTTGGAAACCTCTAGCCTATGTAGATCCCCTATTATTATGTGCTTTACTGAAAAGCTGTCTGGGAAATTTAGTTGTAAAGTTTGGGTGGTTTTCCTTTCCCACGACTTTTAAAGTGTCTTCCTCCATGGATACAAATATAACGTATAAATTTGTATTGTATTGTTTGAATTATGTTTTCATCAAAATTACCAAGCTTGGTATATGTTGCTATATGGTAATTAGTAAACACTAGATTTTCATATTTATCTATAGCTTCTCGCAAATCATTAAATGATTCAAATTGTGCTCCAACTATGAAATAGATTAGAATAGATAACCTTATTATAAAAATATGCATTGTTACTTCTAATTTTTTTGACTTGTAGAAGTTATTTCTTCATCTAAATCAAAATTGCTGATATTCATCCATAAGAATCTAATATAGATTTTGGTAACAGATTAAATCATGGAATTTTCATATATTATTTTTATTTTTTTTAGATTGTCTGGATTTTGGTAGAAATTTTTGAATGTTACCTTTTCGTTCAATTGGCGTATTTTTAGATTTTTTTTGATACAATATCAAAGTTTTTTAAATTTAACATTTTACCCTAGATTTACATATTTATCTATAGCTTCTCGCAAATCATTAAATGATTCAAATTGTGCCCCAACCTATAAAATAAATTATAGAATAGATAACCTTATTAAAAAAAATATGCATTGTTACTTCTAATTTTTTTTTGACTTGTAGAAGTTATTTCTTCATCTAAATCAAAATTGCTTTGATATTCATCCATAAGAATCTAATATAAGATTTTTTAAAAAAAAATATTCATGATAAGCCAGTCTGAGCAATATTTTGAAAATTTTATTTGGCCTGAGTGGGGTAAAAAATATTAATGAGTTGGGTATAAATTAATAATCATTATTATTTGGATTTTTTTTGTGCTAATATTTATATCATAATCTTGAATTAATAGAGAGATGGTAAATAAGGGGTAGTATATTTAATTTAACCATGTGGGTAGCACAAAGGCTAACATTTAACCTGTCCAGTGTGCCTGTATAAGCATAACTATAAATTAAACAATTATTATTCTTTTATAATATAAATTGAGTATAAAAATACTTGGCTATCAAGGTACTGTAAAAGGAATAACCTGTTTTATTAAATTTTAAATATAAAATTATTATTGTAACTAAGTATATAAATACAATATACTTTTATAATATAAATTGAGTATAAAAAAACTTGGCTATCAAGGTACTGTAAAAGGAACAGGTACTGTAAAAGGAATAGGTACTGTAAAAGGAATAACCTGTTTTATTAAATTTTAAATATTGTAACTAAGTATATAAATACGATTACTTTTATAATATAAATTGAATGTTTAAATAATTGTTTAGTTTTTCAAATAAAAAAAATAATAAACATATGACGTTTTTGGCGTGCTAGGTAATTTATGAAAATCATGAAAAAACAGTGCACGGTTAGGGTGCATTATCATTAGCCGTAAGCATCATTAACCTATATATGTAGAGTTTTTGAGAGCAATATTATATGTATGAAATACTGGGTATCGATGTTTAAAAAGAAACAGTTTAAAAAAAAAGAAGTAAATGAAACAGAATATTAAAAGGAAAAAATAGAAAAAAAATCTAAATAAAAAAATTAAAAAGAAAGATCTATAAAAATTGGAAAGAGGAAAGAAAAGTTGAAGTATAGAGAGACATCGAATGGGCGGATGGATGGATCTGGTCTTTGGTTTAATGGGTTATAATTGATGGGTATGGGTCAAAATGGATTGATCAACTGGGAGGATCTTGTGGTTAATCAATATGGCTAGATTTAGGAAAGATGGGCAATGGTCAAATGGCTAGATATGAAGAATGGTCCTATGGTTGATGGAGGTGATTAGGGAGCAAAATGGAACAGATGGAATGTTTGGCCGAATGATGATATTATGGTGGATGGATATGGATCAAATGAAAGGGTTTGAATAGTTAATGCTGATGGTATGGTTCAGGGGAGTACATTGGATAGATGGAAAAATGGGATGTTAAAATGGGCAAAAGGAAGAGTTTGAATGGTTAATGGTGGTGTACATTGGATAGGTATGAGATAAATCAAAAGGGGTAATTGGATGATTATTGTTATAACTTTTATGGAGCAAGATGGGCTGATGGGAGATGTTCGAATGGTTAATTGGTATGGATGAAACAAAATGGACAAATGGAATGAGATGTGATGAAGGGATATATTGGAGCAAGGTGGAATGATTGAATGAAGTGATGTCAATTGTAAATGCAAATGCAAGATGTAAAAGAGTGGATGGATATGCAAATGGAAGATGAATGATTGGAAGTGAGGCGAATGGGAGATGTTAATTTGGGATTAGTTATTGAATCAGTCATGATGTCTTCTCTTAGAGTGGTATATTGTAGGATTAATAAAGAGAGAAGGTGTTGTAATTGATGGTGGTCTTGAGAGTTTTCAATCAAGGATTATTAATTAATATATCTTTATATATAACATCCAAAAATAAATGGGAGATGTGGATCTACCATTGTACTATTTTGTACAAAGAACTGCCAGTCTTGTTATATATAGATAAAATAATAATTAATAATCCTTGATAGAAAGTTCTCGAGACTCCAACGTCAATCACAACATTATAGGTACAATTTAATACATGTTTTATCAAATTTCTAGTAATTTTACCATCATCAATATAATATAAAAAAAATGACAGCCTTTCATTCATATATTTAATTTTTGGCATGAAATTTTAAGACAAACTTTAAAATAAATATGTCGTAATAATTATTAGCTTATCTTTATTTCATTATTTATATGATAATTATACATTATAAAAAAAAACAACCAATATAAGGCCATTTTATAACTCACTCGATTTACCAACTCAACTCTGAAACTAAAATTAATAAATTTTTCAATTCCCAATTTTATTGATTAAATATATTTTAAAAAAACAAAAAGTCATCATAATTATAAAATCTTCTCCCTTTTTATACTTTTGGAGATCACAGGTTTTACACGTGATTAAAAAATTGTATTGTAAAAACTTGATGGGGAAGGGGGTGCTTTGAGCCCATTTTTAAAAAAGACTAACTCAGGCGACTTATTTATAAATTTGATAAATATTAAACAAAATAATTTTTAAAAATAAATAATAATGATAAATATGACAATTTACAGTATACATACATAAAAAAAATAACTATTCATCTAATCTATTAAACCAATATAAAAAAAAACCAAGTGTTAAGACAAAATATATATTATCTAAACATTGGGTTTTCTTTTCACCAACAGATGGCAGAAAGGTTTCTCTTTTGTTGGCAAAATCTTGAAACTTAGATGGAATTATTTTGTATATCCTAAGAAAGGTAGCTGTTAAATAAATATATTTTGGCTTGTATTGAAACAATGTAAATTTAACATCATGTCATATAAAGGATGATAAGATTTGTAATGTGGAGTCCACTTTTACATTTTTAATTTTTTTTCAAAAAAATCCTTCAAACTAACTTTTAGAATACAAAAGGTTTAATTAATTTATTAACATATATAGTTAATTAAAATCATTCTAAAAAAAACATAAAAACTAAAAAATTATATTTAAAAAAATTCTTTTTCTTTCTTCTTTTTTTTTACATTTTGATATCTAATATGTATATTTTATATAATTGTCCTTTAACTTGCTTACAATTTAAATTCAATTACCTTTACAATTTTTCAATTATCCTTACAAATTTTATATTCAAATTAACTGTTTCTTTAAAATTATAATTAATTCATCATATAAATTCAACACCACCCTACCCTTTTTTTAAAATATTGATTTGGACCCCACTCAAACTCCTTAAAAATATAATATTACAAATATAAATAAATTTTGGTATAATTCCTAAATATTAATGTATTTTAATTTAATATTTTCAATATTTAATAGATATTTTGGTACTCATATATTATTAGCAAAATCATAGTTATATTATAAAGATTACCATACCATTTTTCAGTATATAATCCTATTCCCTTATGGCAAAGTCAATAAGATTTTATTAAATTTAATTCTAAAATAAATGAATACAAAAAAAATATAATATAGGATCATATGCTGAAAACATAATAAGTGACTACAAGTACTGGTCTAAATTTGAATCCAATACATCTGTAATTATTTTATTTTACATATAAAATTAAAAACTTGATATAACCTAGTAATGGTGGTAATCCAATAGAATTCACAAGATGGCCAGAAAAATAACATGCTAGGAATAGAATAAAAAAACTGAATAAATTTTTCCCTGGGTACATCTGGGCTTGAAAAACAGTCCATAATGTTCCATAAACTGTAATGGATGTAAAAAAAAATTTAAATTTATTTAACTATACATGTAAGCTTATATTTAAAATTTAATATTACATGATTAAATTAAAACACCCATAATGTTTCTAAATTTGAAAATATGCACACAAAAAAAAATTATTAAAGTTTTAAAAAGCTAGAATAGAAGAGGTTTTTTACTAAATAATATAAGAATTATATAGGATATATATATGTTTACGATGCGTATACAATCATATTTTAAAATTTTTAATCTTTTCATAATTTAAAAGGTAATTTAGAATACTGAATCTATCAAAAAAGAAAGTATACTGGCTGGAGTTTACCAAAAAATTATTTATCAGCTGTTTTTTATCATGCTATATATTTGACGAAAAATTAGTCTGATTTAAAGCCAATCAATTTTTGACATAAAATTATGTTTTATATATTATATCAAAACGCGGGCTAAACACTAGTTTCACCGATGAAAACATAGGTGCTCAACCCCCCCTAAAAAATTTGAAGAGCCGCTGGAAGTTCTTTAGAAAATACGTAATTTTGAAAATATAACAATGCACAGATACTTTTATTAACTATTTTGATACCCTTTTCAGCATATTTTTTAACAGTCCCCTTCCCTCTTTGGCCTACATTCAAGCCTCTTTTCTTGAGTATGAATCATTTTAATATTACTTAGAAATTTTTTTTTATTATCTTTCAGCCACTTATTGGAATATTTTTTGTACCTTCCCCCCACCCTATAGCCAAAAGCAGGGAAGAATAATAATTAATTTTGATAGCAATCAGAATATATAGTAAAAATTTTAAGGTTGATAATCTTCAAATAATATATTAACATACTATAATATGTGCTCTTTCTATATCAATAATCTTTAAATATCAAATAATAACATATATTTTCGTTGTTAATTCTTGAACATCAATATTTATTTAAATTATCGTCATTATATGTATTACATAAAAACAATTAACTTTAAATTTTAATCAATAAGATGAAAAATAAAATAATATTAAAAAAATCAATTGTATAATATGGAAAGGTTAAACTAAAATTACATCTAAACAATTATTTTTTTAACATGAAAGCAATAGATTTATCTCTATATATTTTATATAAGCACACCTAAGTGACAGAATATTCACTTGAGGCACCCACTCACTTAAAAAAAATATTTTTAAAAGAATAATATGTTATCGAAACTCTATTATAAAACTAAAAAAATTTGATAATGTATAAGAGTTAATTTTTAAAACATAATTAAATTAAAGACCTCTCATTTACGATGTACACTAATATTGGAAATTGTTTGGTATAAATATTACGGATAGAATGTCTAACCATATTAAATTATATTTAAAAATATAACAGGAAATTATCCGGATGAAAATCAATGAATATGATTATATGCAATATATACATTTGGTCGATATTTAGCAATATTATATAATAAGTAGGAAAAATATGTTAAATACATTTTTACAGCATTATAATTTGTCCTATTTAATTTAAAAAATTTAATTGATAACCTCTCAAAATTTACTCGACCCCTTTCATATGTAGATGCCTATCCCCTACTTCTCTTCAAAATATTTGGAAGTAAGATGCTCCTACCTGCTAATCTATGTGCGATGTATAAGATAAAACATAGTCATCAATTTTCCTATTTCTCTGTGGGTAATCTTAATCGGGAAGGATATCGCATTTCCAAAAGGTCTGTCCAGCGTCTATATGACAGGATTTTCACTGGATGCAAACCCCCTTCAAAAACCTTGCCTACCCCCCTAAGAATTATCATTATTTTCACCTATTTATTTATTGATATTCTTTTAAAAGAATTTATAAAGGACAACTTAAATTAATCTTACTACCAACTATCGATATTTTGTATAAAGAATTTATTTTTTAGATAATATATTCAATTTAAACCTCCATTTTTACAATGAATTAATTATTATGGCATTATGAGCTTGCTAAAATATCTAAACCTTTTAAATTACATTTAAAAGGATAGTTTATTTGGAAAACAATGTGTATGATTGTTTGTAATATATCGATTTGTTCGATGAATTGTATTATAATAATACTATAATAAAAGTATTAATTTTTACAGCAATAAATTTTGTCCTATTTCATCTCAAAATTTAATAGATAACCCCCCAAAAAATTTATCCTACCCCCATTAGATCAGCTTATCCCCTACCCCCTCAAAAAAATAGGATGCAAACTGTTCCTACCCCTCCCACTCATGTAGACGCTGGGTCTGTCTCTATTATCGATATCAAGTCGTTCGAGTATTTGAAGATTGGTTTCAATGTAGATGGTTCTCCTTCAAAAAGATTGTTATAATTGTAAAGAGAATATTATTGTCGTGCATACCACCGCCATTGTAACAATTAGGGTTTCATTATTTTCTCCTTTTTTAGCTATGTTTTATCTAATACTAATCAATTTTTAGTTCATTCCTCATTTACCAATTCTGCAGGATTTGTTATCTCAATTGTAATATCTAAGTTGTTGTCAACTCTGATTTTTGGTTTTAGGATCTTCTTTAAAATCCTATTTCTTATTCAAGATATGACACCGGACGATCTGTTTTCTTATCATGGTTTTCTTTGAAATTCTCGTGCCAATCCCAGATCTCTTCTTCTATCTTAGACCTTTTTGTATTTTTCATATAATCTCCTTCTCATTGTATTGTGTGGGCTAATTCTGTAGGCGAATTGAAATTTTTCTATTTCTTCTTTAGGGTTATTCGTTTTTCCAAGAAATATTTTTTAAGTTTATACTCTTTCAACTTGGCTAATTTAGGGTAATATGGCAATATTAAAATATGTTTTCTAAGTTTTTGCTAAATTTACATATTTTCCCAGAAATGGCGATGCCATATCAGTCACAATTGATCTTCCAAATAATGTGTTTATGTTGTATATTTTCAGTACTATTTGTTGAACAAACAAGAAATAGTCCAAATTTAGCAAAATCATTTTAATATGAAGAGGAATTTGTTTCAAATAAATAAGGTTACAGCTGTTAAGACTAATCAATTTACCATTAATTCATTCCAAAACCCGGGAAGAAATAATTTGGAATATTTTTTTTAATCAGCTGCCTCGGTAATCTTTTGCCAATGAGTAATTTCTGATTGAATTATTTTTAAACAAAAGAAATTTTTATGAACGTATCGACATTAAGAAAATATTATGTAAACACTGTCTATATGACAGAAAATTAATTGGTAGCAAACCTCCAAAATCTACCCCTACCCCTCCAAAATAACTTCACATATCCATTATACCATAACAATCCCATCATATTAATTAAAAATATTGTATTAAATACCATTAATAACTTTCAAACAATTCTAATTTAACTCCAGGCTTTATTATTATATAGACCAGGTATAAGAAATAAACATTAGTTGGTGATAATCAACTATTTGCTAACCGTATTTTAAACATTAGCCACAAATGTAGAACTTCACCTTATATGTACTATTAGATTTATTTTTTTAGTCAATTATTTTTATTTTTAATCAAATAGAAATAAGTTTTTATTTTCCCATGCCATCTTTAGATGCCTCCTTACACCACTTTGGATTTCTACCTCCCCCCCCCCCCTTCCACATTCATCATCTATCTTCGTATGTAAATATTTAAAGATATTGCCAGATTCGGAAATTTCTTTTATTTAAAAATTTAAGATTAAATCCAAAACGAGTACGATTAAGGATAGACCAATTTATAATCACGCTACGCAGTCTAATGGATAGCTTTGAAAACGAGGGTAAAATGATTTGAATAAATTTGAATCGAATTATTATTTTAGGAATTCTTTCCGAATCATTCTTTATTCAAAAAGAAAATGGAATTAAGAACCTAGATAATCAATTTGACGAGAAGCATGGATAAATCTAGCGCAAAGATTTAAAATAATTGAATATGAAAAAGATAGCTGGACTTCGACAATATTATCGAAGAAGATATTTTTAATGAAAATTTTTTATAAACTCCTTAACTCCGTTAATATACCCCGAAGTACTACCGAGTAGTAATACAAAATGGCTTCATTTCAGCTGATTTTCGAAAATGGACATCTTAATATTTTAGCCAAAAATATATTGTTTAAGCCTAAAGATTTTAATAACAAAGTATATTTAAAAATTGTTGCAATCATAAAATAATATACCACGTTGATTCACTTCTCATATTTCCAATTGAAAAATATTTATATCTATCGTTAGAAAATACTTTACTAGTTTATATAAGAAGAATAAAATTGTTTTCAAATTATATACTAATTATAATTATTTTAGGTGGTATAGAATCATACAATCAAATTAACCATATATAGTAAGGTAAGTTATAAGTAGCATTTATAAAAGAATGATATTAATAATTTTCAAATTCATCACTAATCACAATTATTTCAGAAAAAATTTTTTTATACACGCCGAGACTGGTCTTGCGGTTCCGTTGTAAGCGTTTAGGGTTAAATAAAAAAAAATTTGGGGAGGGGTGGTCCTCCTATACCTATGGGGTTGACGGCGTGTACGTTAAACGATTCTTTTGATTCGATTTGCGAACTTGATCTTTCCATAAAAAAAATAAGATAGCGATACAGATACTTTTTTTTTAAGTATCGCAATTCCGATTCTTTTAAAATTTTCTAGTCATTTTTTTTTCCTGATTGAATCACTCTGAATGTGAGTTCCTTTTCATTTTATCAGATTTGAAAATTTTTGTGGACCCTGGAATATAGATTTACTGTATTGTTTAATATGTTTAGTTGAATAATTATAAAACCGAAAAACATTTCTTTACCATTTACGACCTTTGATAAAACGGCTAACTCAGTATTTTATCTAGAAGAATATTAAGCAAAAACCTAAAGATTTTGCTGGCACAAAGATTTGGACATTCTAATAGCGAAATATTGAGGTTTAAGCAATATTTCTCTGGCCAAAATATTGAGTTACGACGGTGTTTCCTAATCTCAGCACTTTTTGATATAATAAAAGACGATTGGAGCTTAAATAATTTTTTTATTTTATATGATTATTTAAAATATAAAATGTAGAAAACAAATATATACTATAATAAACGAAGATCACTGAAAATATAAAATTGAAGTGATGTTATTAAATCGCCATTTGTTTTCACATCCTAAATATGCCATATTTGACGTGATGTTCGATAGGGGCGTTGAGACAAACTGAAAGACTTAAAGCTAACACCTTCCGCGTGTCTAGAGGATCTATAATCCCGTCATCCCATAACCTATTTTTTGTGTTATAAGCATGGTTCAATAATTATAAAATTCTAAGGTTACAAAAATAATTACTTAAATATCTTATCATCGTTTTTTCAAATAGCCAACTTCACAAAATTATTTTGTTTTAGGAGTCAATATCACTACCCCGAAATGAGATTAAAACCATTGAAAATGATTACTTTAAAGTATAAGTTAAGCATTCCAAGACTCAACTTGATCTTCTTCCTTTACTGTCTTACTGTAAATAATTCTCTGATTGGCTGGAATAAATAAATACGCAAAGTTATGGCTAAAAGTAAATTGCCTAAGCTTAGACATTTTGCCTATGAATGTAGGAAAGGCTTAGAAATCTGACGAAATAGAGAGGTGAAAATATTGAATCGGTATGTTAAAAATTGTGGAATAATCCAGCTCTAAATAATTTCCGTTATATTAAAAAATATTTGTTATAAAATTAAAACCCCATTGTTCACAACGTTAATTTGGGATTAATAAAAGGCAACAACTAAAAGTAAGTGATAGCCACTCTAGACTTGAAGGATGGTTTTATATAAATATTATTTTTTTTAAATTAAAATAGAGTGAAGATGCCTAAATAGGGTGTAAATGGGTCATTATATTTATATAAAATAGCTTGCTATTTTCAAAAGGTAACTTTCTTAACATGTGTCCATAAAAAGATAATGACTCAAGAAATGCCCAATATCATCAAACGATAAAAGGCCAGAGTCATCTAATATCATTAAATAAAATTTAAAAAAATACCCATTACCTGGCTGTAGAATAATAAGGGCTGCCCTCAAACTCGAACTGTTCCAAGATGGGATTTTTAATCTTCCCACTTTCTTCGGCGCTCAACGCTTTCCGTCCTTCGTTGCGAGCCACTTTATCGGCAGCTATTTGTTCGAGAACATTGGCCGCTTGCTCCCCACCCATCACCGATATGCGACTATTGGGCCAGGAGAACAAAAAGCGAGGACTAATATGTAAAAATAAATAAATAAGGGAATAAACTATGTTGAAATAACTATAAGTCCTAGATCACTTCTTGAACGCAGGGTGCTGAGCTAAATAATGACGGTAAAAAATAGCGTTTTTGCGTTTTAAACGGGGGGTGTAAAAAGAAGTCATCAAGAACGACGTTTAAATATAGCAGAAGCGAGAAGAAAGTATTTTTTTTTTGAAAAACTTGAAAGCTCGCCCGCACATCCCATAATTTCCGGCCCCGTAAGACCCACCAACTATGCAGGTTATTTTGGGGACAGTGGCGCAAGCAACCGCGTTCACCATTTTGGCCCCGTGCTTAGCTATTCCTTCGCTTTCGGCTCTTTGGCCTACCATAAAACCTTTCATATTTTTTTTTTAAAAAAATGGTATAAATAATAAAATAAAAATGAACGTTTCTAAATTAAATTTTCCGCGCTGTAAAGTTTAATATTCTTCGTTTTCATGTCCGTCTAAAAATAGAGCAAGTCAGCCAAAATGGATTAAGGACTTTCGAGCGGAATTGATTCCTTCACGCGATAATAAATTCCTTAGAGTGAGAGAGGAATCATGTAAATAATCCATAAGCCACAAACACTAATCATCCAAGAGTCTCGCTATTCTTTTACATGCCTCTTCATATCTATAGCTCCTCAATTCCAATTTACCTATATAAAGAAACTAAAAGGAACCGCTCCTCAGACTCGCGTTTGTGTAGCGTCCTATGCGCGTTTATTATAAAACGGTTAATTTTTTTTTGGCGAATATCCGCCTAATAATACAACCCTTAAAATCGGGGACCTGAAGGCCCTAAGTTCGAGCCGTATTTTAATTTATATAAATGTTCCCGGGTCGGGGCAAAAAAATCCGGTCCAGGCCGGCTTTGAAAACATAAAACCCGGGCCGAGTATATTTTTTCAAAAAAATCAGGGCCGACAGTGCTATCTGCTTTAAAATAATCCTTTTCAAAATAAAAATCATCGAATTAATGATAAACATATTTTTTTAAGATTTTAGGAAAAGATTTAAAATTATATTGTCTAAATTTATATTTTCTTTAAAAAAAGTTTTACCAGTTATATTTTGCAGGAAGATGAGCGGTATTTTTCTCTGGCAACAAAGCTGAATGAAATGAGTAGCCTTTACCAATCAATATAAAAAAATATATATTAAAATAAAATATTACCAATATTTAATTTAAGATTAAAAACAGCTTTCTATAAAGCGCTTAGCTAATCATAAATTGACCTGTGTTAAATTATATTATTTTATATTATTGTAAATTATATTATTTAATATTATTGTACACTTGCCCACTTATATTAAAATTGTGTTGCATATACCTTTACCTTTGATTGAGGCGTGACATACACGTTTTGTGACAACTATAAACTAATTTATTCTCCAAAATAAATTTAGTTCTAGGTCGCTGATTTCTAAACTTTCGTTTTAAATCTCATATGTTTTCAATAAGATCCTATCTGGAGAATGGTAACAGATTTATATTATGATCCTTTCAAGGTTTTTGCAGATTTAGTGGTATGAAAAAGGGAACCCATCTCACTGGAAGGTTTGACTTGTCCTAACAAATGAATTGGTAGAATCAGCACTTAGTTGACGATATCGATATTTAAGAGTCATTATTATATTAAACATAATATATCCAATACCTGTTGCACTTATACAACCCCATACTATTATGCTATGTGGAAACTTAACTATTCTTTGTAAGCAATAAGGATAGAAGATTTTGCTTATGTCTTTATAACTTTATTTCATATTGCAACAAAATCTGTACAATATTTTAATTCATCAATGATTGAGTTCCCCGTTGTATTTTGTCTAATTTAACTATTTCTACCAATAATCTGCTTTAGTAATGTCGTTATAAATAGTTTCTTCTTAGACTATATGAAATAGCATGATGTAAACATTTCAAATGAGCTTTTTTATATTATAGAAAGAATGTCTATCTTAGTAGATAGGTTGATATTAATTGCAGAAATTCCATGAAACTTTTTTTATTTTTGAAGAATTCCTCTTAAGATGTCCTCTAATCTGTGAAGGCTGAAAACCACCGATATTTACACATTTCTTTAATATATCTCTAATGGAAAATTAACATATGGCAAATTAATTCATCTTTCTTCCATAATTTCATCTGTTCTGGCAATTATATTTGTTCACGCTTTTATCCAGTTGAAGAAAATAAAATTAATGGTATAAATTAATTAAGTTATAATTGTTTTTTTTAAAAAAAGCAGACGATTGTTTTTTAAAAAAGCAGATGATTGTTTTTTCTATATGAGACTATTTGAATGATCGTAGCGATAAGGTATTATTTTCTTATTAATTATAAAAATATATATTTATACACTAATTATATATATAATTGCTATTAATTAAGATTTTTAATTTTTCTTAAGAGATCAATAATTATTTATGAATTCCTAAGATTTAATGTAAGCCTGGGTGCTCTTGCATAAGAATAAGGTGGGGCAGTAATCTGAAAAAGTAAGCCTGCCCGAACGGGCTTCAGGTTGGGCCTACTTCATATTGGTTCGGGTTGGACTTGGACCGGGACCTAGTAAAACAAATTCGTGCCGAACCGGTCTTAAATAGAAATGATATATTTATATAATATTCTCGCGAGACACAATGCTCCTATAATTTCTATTTGTTGGTAAGATGATCTAAAATTCGATTACGTTCAGTGCAAAAAATTATAAAACTATATTAGAAAAATTTATATTTGTATAATATCTAAATAAATTCTGGCCAAAGGGGGGGGGGTATAATTTCTATTTCCGGGTGGGGCTTTTCGGGACAAAAAAAAATCGTTTGGGATCGGGCTGAGCGCCGGGCTCGAAAAACTAGGCCCGATGCAGATCATTAGTGTAGTATATTTAGTTATAAAATAAGTTTGGAACCGGAAATATCACCCTGGAAAACAGGGCTTAAATTTAGAATCTAAAACCAACTATTCAGGACAGGAAACAATATCCTTTACTTGATTCGTTTTTCTCGAGGGCTAATATGTTTAATGTAATTTCATGCATAACATGATTCGTAATATATAACTCAATTTTATCGATTCCTTCCCTTCTTTCTCTCATATTTCTAGCTCGTGATAAAACTAACCTTTAGGGCAGATTCGGAAAATAAGACTCCATTATTGCCTATAATGCCGACTTGGATGCCGTGAATCTTGCTATATCCTATTCCGGTAAAAATAAAGATTATATATATATAATATTTTTGAATGATTTGGAAAATTTATCAAATGTCATAATGTAAGATTTCTTTTTTTTTCTTCCTATTTTCATTCCTGAAGCGCCGCAAGAAAAGTACGTAAAATTTGATGGAGACATGAATGTCAGGGCTATCATATCTCGCCCTTTAATATTTCTGACTCCTGACACTTAACAGGGTGTATTCCTGATTCTTGATGATAGATATGGATAAGAGTCGAGGATAATTGAGCCTGTTGTTGATCGGTAGGACATAAGGGGATACTTAGGTGGAGCAATGTAACCTCAAGATTGGTGATCCCTTCGGATATATCGGCGGACCCCCGAGGTGTGATCAGCTGTTTAAGAAGGGTCTATAAATTGTGTGGCATGGGTAAAAGTGCATAATTAGGACTCCAAAGTAATTCATCGTATTCCACGTAGGAAGAGCCATTGGCTAATAAGAGAATGCGATCTCAATCGATAAGGGGTAGTGGCTATATTGGGGAAGAGTCGCGGAAGGAATCACGGAGGATTTTGAAAGAATTATTATTGGAAAACGGAGTGAATACAGTAATGTTATGAAAATTTACAAGTTAAATTGATATGACACCTTAGCCCCCAAAAACGGCAAAGGTGTTTAATACCGTTGATATATCATGTTGTAGTTCATAGAAAAAATGAATAGAAAGTATAATTAATTATTCCTTATTTTTCGCAATAGATATTATGATCATATAAAAGATCTTCCATTTGTAAAAAATAATGTATTTTTGACGTGAAATTTTTGAATAATAAAAATTATAAATAAAAAGGATTTAACAATTCGAAGAATTATTAGTTTTAAGTCAATGGCATATATATAATACCTAGACTGACGATTCTTAAAATGCATTTTTAGGTATCGTCCCTCTAATTCGTATGAAAATTTAGGAAATAGGTTTTTTGTCGTATTGCAATAGTTCGTTCCCCAAAAAAAGCCAATTTGCAATAGTTCGTTCCCAAAGTAGTTTGTTCCCAAAATAATTATGAAAATCCAAGAGATTAAAGCTAAATCGCAACAATTATCAATAAGAAAATTGGAAATTAAAGTATATATTATTTAATTTGCATATAATAATTAATTTTTTTAGAAAACTAGACAAAACAAAGAGTGCATATTTTATGGAGACCATTAGTCCAAGTAAATAGTATCTTTTAGATATTTATATCATTTTTAAACAAAGCTATTATTCAAATTCTAATAATCAAATGGTTCAATATAGTTTGATTAAATCAAAATACAACAATAATATTATCTATTCTAACAAAAATTTAATTCAATTTATACATTATCATGCAAAAAAAAGAGATTGCATTTTTATATATTAATTAAAATTTTTATTATGAGATATTTGATATAAATTTTAATAATGTTATATCAAAGATATATTTATAATGCAATTGTGCTGTCTATTATATATTAATGGATCTAGAGTATTAAGAGTTTGCTAAAATATTGTAAATTATCTGCTATTTATATCATTTTTAAACAAAGCTATTATTCAAATTCTAATAATCATATGGTTCTATATAGTTTGATTAAATCAAAATACAACAATAATATTAACTATTCTAACAAAAATTTAATTCAATTTATACATTATCATGCAAAAAAAAGAGATTGCATTTTTATATATTAATTAAAATTTTTATTATGAGATATTTGATATAAATTTTAATAATGTTATATCAAAGATATATTTATAAAACAATTGTGCTGTCTATTATATATAAATGGATCTAGAGTATTAAGAGTTTGCTAAAATATTATAAATTATCTGCTATTTATTTTTTAATATATACTGTTCTTGTATTAATATAAATATTAATTACCATTTAGCCATTTAAATTTAATTTAAAATAAAGAGCATTTTTTAATTTATTTGTCAAATCTGTTACAACGTTTCAAAATTATACAATTTTATAACGCTTCAAATATATTTGTGGCCATTTTAGGTCATTTGACGTTTTTTCACAAATGTTCATACGATCTAGTGGACCCTAACCCATTTTTAAGCGTCGCTAAAAGCAAATCAGCTGGACCCGCCATTTTGTATTAGGAATTATTCTCATGTTAAAAACTAGTATTAAATTGATAACTAGCTTCCTTATAAAATCCGGTATTTCTTTAATAAATTTTGCATCAGATATTGGAATAAATTAGGCTCTCGTTTAAAATTTTAATAATGATTAGTGTATCCAAGATGACGTCTCCAGCTGATATTGATGTACACTTTTAGAAATGAATCGTCAGTCTAAGTATTATATATGTCATTGGTTCATATATAAAAATGAATAGCCTGACTTTTCTGTTTCCCCTCAATGATTTTACAAAATAAGACGAATATGATATTTTTTCAAAATTAAATTGGTAAAAAATTTTTTTTTATAAAATAAAGTAAACCCGTTACGATGGTATCCCCGTATAAGGCTTTGAATTCGCGGAATTCGCTTCCGTCAACTATCCTCATAATCAGCTTATTTTTAAAAAAAACGCAAAAAAAATAATTAAAATATTTCGGTTATAATCAGGGAACTTGATTTAATAGTCAAGAATATCTGGCGATTTTAAAATAAATTCGGTATAAGGGGCGTTCTAGTTAAATTACGCTACTTTTAAAACGCTTTCAATGTTAAAAGATAGGAGATAAGTTGCTGATATCTAGATTTTAAACCATGTTTTTTTAAAAAAAAAACTATGTGGAATTTGGCGGCACATTTTTTTGGATCTAACCTCTCAATATTACACCTTCGCCTAAGCCCGAATTCCATATACAATAATCGGTATGTGGCTATCTACCGACATCTTTTTATTAATTTTACTATTAAAAATAAGTCCCAAAAACATCTTAGGTTAGTTTATCTTATAACATCGTTGTTTATCTCGTTTAATTCCTAAATATTGAGCTAATCAATAAAGGCATAATTATGAATATTGGAACGTTATTACCTCTCTAACATCGTAGGCCCTTTTCAAGTTGGACCCCACTATTCCGTAAATTTCTTCTGGGTCGTATAAGGGTTCCTCGTAATCCTGGATCTTCATCTTGCCATGTTTATAAAAACAATAAGGTAGATACATTTCTATTCAATAATAATATAATTAGATAAATTCTTCCTTTCCACTTTTTCCTTCTCCCTCTCACTCCAATGTGTTTGGTGATAAGTATCAGGTGGTAACCTGAGCAAGGCCTTTGTCGGTCTGGTAATTTAAGTCCTTAACAATGTCCTTACATAGGCTCAAAGCATGGAAATCGTTTTCCGCGTAATAATCGCAAACTCCAGATGTCCTAAACAAGCAGTTTATAATTTTTTAATTCCAGCATAATACAAGTGCATAATAATTGAAACTTGCAGTGCAAATCCGCGCCCCCTAATTGTTCGGCCGATATCTCTTCACCGGTTGCCGCTTTCACCTTTTAAAAATTATTCGATATGAGAACTAGAAAAAAATTGTTACATCTATTTTTTTTATTTGTGTGTATTATTATAATATTTTCAATCGGTGCACTGGTCTTTTTCTTTAAAATTTTTTTTTCCCCATCTCTGAGGCAGTAATTTATAATATTTATAAAAGAAAATTTTTTTTTTACCAAGGGAGGACCCCCAAGGAAAATAGTGGCTTGCTGTTTGACTATAACGTTTTGGTCGGCCATGGCTGGCACGTAGGCGCCTCCAGCGGTACAACTTCCCATCACGATTGCTATCTTTATGCATAATATTAAATAGAAATAGTAAAAAAAATATATATATATCCTCTTAGCCTACGTCCAAGAACGCAATTATCACAGGTTTGTATTTGGGAATGGCGAAATCGCAACATGCCAGGACATAGCCTGAAAGCTCCCTAACATCCAGAGATATAGATGGCCTGGCCGTAATCAGTCAATAAGGAATCCCTTCCAAGTTTAAAAAAAACTTACAAATCTTTGTGACGGTCAGGCCGGTTTTAATTATGGAATGGTATATACTACTTGGGGTATTTTGAGAGACGACATATTGGCTTGATTGTAAAATATTCTTCCGAAATGTTCTTTGTCAGGAAAAACTTCGGCTTGTCGGGGTAGATTGGCCCCACCTGAGTCAACTACAATCAATAATAATATTTTTAAAAAAATATATAATTGTAATCTGTTCAGTGGCGTATCCAGGATTTTCTTATGGGGGGGGGGGAATTTTTTTGGGGGGTTCGCCCCCAAACCCTTCTTACCTGACCTTCGGCCAGCTTTTCCCAGGCCTTCTGCCGGGTCTTATGTTTTAGCTATTCTATTAAATTATTCATAATTTAATAACAATTATATTTCTATTTTTAACTATTATTTACTAATTCGTGCTTATGGATATTACAAGCCTATTTTTTTTATTATTTTAAGTTAGTTACATTATATTTAAGTTAGGTATATTATATTTAATAAAGTTTTTTTTAAATGTAAAGTTGAAATAAAGTTTAATGTCATTTTTTTTTTATAAAATTTGCTTTAAAAACTAGCCTCAGCTTAAATTCTCATACAATATAAGTAGAATATAATTTTTTTTATTGAAAATACTAATAGTAGCGTATATATAATATTGACTAGAAAAAAATTTAAAAAATAATTTTTTTTTAACTTCTTATTAAATACAATATTATACAATTTTTTTTATTAAAGACTATAACTATAATGTGATTTTTAATTTGCGTGGAAATGTTGCCAATTCATCAAGAATTTCGTTTGTCGTTGGAACCAAATCTCATATTTAACAGAGCTAACCCATTTAGCCGAGATTCGGAAGTAGTACTTCGTAAATATGTTTTCAACCTTCTCAAGCTGGAAACTTTCATTCGTACATGTTGTAATAGGCCAATATGCAAGAATATAAAACAACTTTAAAATATTAGGAAATTGAGCCAAGGTTTTTTTACACCGAATGAGCGAACAATAGCATGCTCAGGGAAAATAGCTAAACGTAATAAATATTTATACCACAATTCGAATTCATTGATTAAATTTATTTCAGTATCTATATCATAGGAATAAAATTTTGCTATATCTAATTTTACCAATAGTGGCATTAAAAAACGAAGAAGGATCTTTGGGTAATAAAACTTGAAGATTGCTAAAGACTTGTTTTTTATCCAAAAACCGTACTTTTATTTGTGATAAAAAAGTATCTAAGAATTGGATGAAAATGGATATTTTATAATATTCTTCAGTTGAGCCAATATTTATTTTACATCTCAATAATTGTCTAATAAAATTTAGCCTTCGATTCAACGTCTAGATAAATATTATGAAAATATTCATCTACATTCATGCTTATTGTATCTACCTATCGCCAAATCAATAACTGAACCAAATCTAAATTTGGTTTTTGTAAATTTCTACAAAGTAAGGAAAATAATTTATTGATGCAACTAGCAGCAATGATAAACTCTGATTGATCAATTGAATTCAATAATGATATCGCTTCTGACGACACATTACTTTTTTTCATGCTCAGTCTTATACTTTTGTATTTCTATTTCTTCTGTTCTGCAAAATGGAAGTAAAAATGATAAATATTAAAAAAATTATAGATAATTATTAATAATTAAATTATTATTAAAAATATTTATTAATTCTAACTCACTAATAATTTTGAATTTAATAAAATAATTATACATAATAATAAAATAAATTACCATTTTATTTCAATCTCTTTGACTTAAAATTTTTCCATTTTATCAATATTTTAGAATAATGTTAATGTAAAGGAAATTTTAATAAAATTTATTTATAAAAAATAAGTTTTATGTTAGAATATTGATATTCAAATATTTGTAAAATTTTATTAGGGGGGGGGGGGGTAAATTTTTATTAGCTTAAAATGATATTTATGAAAACACTCAAATTTGCGATGAGGGGGTGGGGAGATTTCGCCCTTTCCCCCCAATTGGTTACGTGCTTGAATCTGTTTGTTTATAGGACTTAAAATACAAATTTTAAATGACTTAATTTAGACATTTACCAAATGTCTGGTATAATCATATATATATATATATATATGGAATCTGATGAATTAATTGATCTTGATGATCAAATTGATAAAAATGGTTGACTAAAATATAAATTCCCATTTAATTATGAATCCTTATTAATTATGCATATGCTTAAATCTTCATGGTGATATAGAAATTGTAAACATTAGTTTTAAATAATTAATATTTAAAATTTATTGACTAATCTATGGATCCCTATGCTTGCTAATTATGCATTGCTTAAAAAATACAAAAGTAATATCATGTTTAGCCCTTTATAGTTTCTAGTGATTAAGTCAAGTGAAAGAATACTTCAGGAGCATACCATTCTATAAAGATTCAATAATAATACACCTATATATAGAGAAGATAGGTAAAAGGACAAAAGAAAGAATTACCACACTCCCTTTCAATTACCATTTTTTTAAATTAAAAATATATTATCATTGTGAGCAGCATTTAAACTATTAGTTATTATACTTTTATTATAATTATTTAAATCAATTGTAATATTTTTTTAATCATTTTTATTGATTAATAGCTTTGTTGAAATATACCTTAATTTTTATTCAGTCAAATTAATTGTTTTGCTAACTTACCCCATTTTATAATTCATTATATATTATATTTCACTTGAAATATATTGCATGTCTGATAAAAAAAATCTCTTTCTTTATTTCTTTCTCTCTTTATATTTCACTTAAAATATATAGCATGTTTGATAAATAAAAATTATAATCATTTGTTTTCTATTGAATAACTTTTTTAAGCTCAATTATTAAACTAAATTGCTTTACCTTAGAATATCACAAAATAAATATAGTTCTGATGTATTTGGGGATCTGAATCACCTGGAGGTGTCAAGATCAATTTCATTTTTAAAATTGATTCCTAATTAGCAAAGATTCAAAATGGCTAAAAATGCTTATTTTCAGCAAGTTTGTCTTCGATTTTTATTATAATGTCAAGTCACATGCATTTTTTGTAAAAATAAACGTTTTTAGAGCGAGATAATATCAAAATATTATGGAGAGGGGGGGGGGAGGTTTGTATTAGTGACATAAGATGATCACTTCATTTTGTGATTGATTCATCATTTAGATAAATATAACTTGAACCATGGAGATGAAATTTAGAACAACCATTATTTCACATTATCTATCACCGATTATGGAAATTTTTTATTATTAATTTAGGGGTTGAAATAAAAAAATATTAAATATAATTAGTACATCAAATACCTAAATATATGCAGGGTAACATATTTTGCCAAGCAATTTCTTGAGCCCTTAAATGTTTCTTTACAGTCATAGGATAATAAGTGCCACCCTTTACAGTTGCATCATTGGCTATTATCATGCATTTAATTCTATTTTATTTTTTATGTTTAATTATTTTTGTGCACAAAAAACAATTAAATACCCTGATATAGCCCCAATTCCAGTAACTATTCCAGCAGAATTAATACTGTCATCATACATGCCAAATGCTGCTAGTTGAGAAGTTTCCAAGAATGGTGATCTAAAATTAAAGTTGAAAAGACCTATGATAAAATTAAAGTTTATACCCATCATCTAGCAGGTAGTCAATTCTTTCTCTAACTAACAATTTACCTTTAGATTTATGATAAAGTTTCAATTTTTCATTTCCTATAATTAAGGAGATCACAAAAGAAACATGAAATTATGAAATACCTTTCTCAATTTCATTTGTTTTGTTTTTGAGATCGAGCACCAATTTTCGCATAGATTTATCATTGAACTAAATGTATTTAACTTTTCATTTATAAATGACATATTACTTGGAAATCTTGATCCTTATCAACCTGAGATTGCAAAGCAAATTTAGAAAAGTTTCTGAAATTTCTTACTTTTGTGAGGTATCTATGTTTGCATAACATATGATATTTAAAAAACATATGATTTTCATGATGTCCACAAGGCATATTTAATAAACTTTTTAATATATGGTTAGGGTCCACCCAATATATTTAGTGTAAACAGATCAATTCTAGCCGTTTTTTAAAAACGACAAAACCAATATTTTATTCAGTCAAATATTGCCTAGACTTAGACGTCTTAACCTTTGGGCTATCTTGACCAAAATTATCATGATTGGGTCATTTTTTTCTGGATAAAATATTGATTTCCGTTTTTTAAAATAAGTCTAGTCGATTAACAAACTAAACATATTCTTTAAATGATTATGATTTCTAAGAAAATTTGAGGTTTTATTTTATATAATCATTTGCCGTAATAAATATTTTGTTTTTAAATGATTTTTCAATTTCTCAAATAATATAGTTTAATTTGATCATACTGATCGGATCATTATAATCATCGCTCAATTCTACGTGCTCAATATTCAACCTAAACCCTTTTATTTCTTCAAAATAATTACTTATTCTTAAAATAAGCATTCTATTTCATTAATATTTTATTCAAACAGCTAAGGTTTCGCAATAAAATAAATTAACTAACTACCTTTATATTATATTGAAGTCTACTCCCTCCATTTTAAAATTTAAAAGTAAGTTCATGCAATAAATTCTTAACTCAATTTTTTATAAAAATTATTTCAATATTTATTCATAAATTTTTTAATAATGAACATTTATATGCAATATTATATTATATTTTTCTCTATTAAAAAATTAAGAATCATTTTTATTTAAATTAATTTATTTTTTCATTTCAAATATATTTAGTCGATTTGTAATTTAAATGGCCATATATTTCTAAAATCTGAAAAATTGTGCAATATACTACTTGTAAGTTATTTCAAATACTAGATTATATTTTAAAATAAATGATTATATTTGTTAAATATAATATTTTTTCCTTTTTAATATCACATGTATAATAGTCTACTTTGTTTTATAAATTTGTATGAATATTTAGATTGCTAAAAATCAATACAATCTTATTGTTTGGCCTCAGAAATATATAATAATATTTAAAATAAGTATATATATACGAAGTATTATTTATTGCTTCATAAAAAAAATGCATTCTATTTCTTTAAAAATTTTAATGTGCACCACCAAATTTTGGAACCTAGATAAAAAGGATTGTTTAAGATTAAAACTTTTTAGTCATGATTAATTTTTGAAAATAATATAAATTCCATTTATTTCCTAAAATACAATATTAATATCAATTCAAAATTTCTATACTTATTTTTTAGTTACTTATAGATACTTAGGACTATAAAAGGAATTTGTTCCAAAATTTATTTCTAAAAACTTATAATAGGCCCTATCATCATTTAACAAGAATTTAATAGTAAAGTAATAACATTTAATACTACTTATTAACTTACATTTATCAATAGAAACTCCATATTATATAACATGTAATATCCTGAGAATAAATTAAGTTAAATTATTTGTAAATATCTACATGCTCTAACATGAGGGGAGACATATTAATCAATGTTATTAAAATCTAAGAGGGTACCCTTTTTAATGAACAAACATAGCTGATGCCCATTTTATATTTGGATGAATTATATTTTACTTATTGGACCAAGGGGGGGGGGGGGTTGAGGACTTAATATATATGAATCTCACACAAATATATTCTGTGAGAAAAAAAAATTTTCTACAAAAAATGATTTAAAGGAAAATAATTTAATTTTAGAGCCCAATCATTATTTTTGGATATGCTCAAACTGAACAAGTCGCTTTGTATTTTGTGAAAAATAAATTCGTTTATCTTTCATCATATTTTGTTTACTTTTATATTCCCTCCCTATTTAATTTATTCCAAAAAACGCTGCATTTATTTGAATAACCAAACACACCCCCCTCCTATTTTTTTTAAATATATCCAAAATAAATGACTCATTAAAATAATGAGATAAGCGAATTTTTTATTTTTTCTGATATTCGATATAAAATGATGCAATAGTAATAAAATATTAGCCTTACGCCTCATTTTCTAGATAAACGCGTTTTGTTCCAGCGGTGCGGTAAATAACGCCGCGTTATTTCCAAAATCGAGCCAATATATATGGAGCGAAAACGCTACGATAAAATTTTGAAAAAAAAAACGAATGTAATTTTATTATAGCTGCGAAGAATCAGCTGATCTTGATAGCGTTAAATATCGTAATCGCGTACGAAACGCGTTTTACTATAAATTAGGCCTTTGTTCCAATATCGTTTGGTCTGACATTCAATATTTTGCTTCTTATTGTTATATTCATTTTTTTGGCACTGTCTTCGTCCTGTGTTCACTATTCACAAAGATAATTTCGATTATCCATAAATCTCGCCTAAGATCTACCAAAAAATCTTTATCTTAATAATAATACTACCTTATGGGTATAGTTGGTTAATTACTATATTTTTAGCCGTTTAAGCCAATTTTTTTAAACCGGCAAAACCTAGTTTTTAGCCGAAGACTATCATCTTGGCTCGTGATTTTTCTTAAAGAGATGGCGGCTCAAATTTGAAAAAAAAAACTGATACAAATTAAAACACTTCAATGTTGACGGATTTTCTCCGACAGGCGCTTGAAGATTGAGCCAAATTAGTCGACTTTTAGCCTGCTGAGGAAGTTGAACGTCTAAACGAGAAGAGGGCTTAGGGCGAATCCTGTTCTTATCTTCGAGCTTCATCTGTTCCTGGCTTTTTAATTCTGTCTTGTAGTGGTCGGACCTTCGTATATCATCCTAGAATTCATGTATTTTCGCGTCATAATATTTTAAAAAAATCCTTTGACATCACCTAGTTTTGTTTAGTCCATAAAATTTATGACAAATTTTTTTTTTTTTTAAATTCTTTAAAGTGAGTGGCCGTTCGATAGAGGCCCAATTGCCCGGTGAAATGTTTTCCCTCGCGGGTAAAAAGGAAATTTTATTGTTATAACTAATGTCCTACATCGGACCTATTTTTTCTCACCCGGCCCAATTTGATCAAATAAAATCTGGCCCAGGGTTTAAGCAAATAATTCTCCAAATCCAGCTAGCTCAGATGAACATAAAATCAAGGCCCTATACTCGATCCAAGTCCATGGAATGTCTGTTCGAGTTAGTTACTATGAAGGTCCTTCCCCAGGGCTCTAAATATATAATATAACTTGGGGTGGTATGTAGGAATTCGGCTGAGTATGGAAGAATCTTCACAATTTGAATCATTTTTTGGGCGCATTTTTAATTTTGCCAGAATCGTATTCTACCATGTGTGTATAGAGTAGTGATCTGCATCGGGCATAATTTTTCAAGCCCGGCTCGAATTTATTTAAATATAGAAGAAATTAATTTTTGTAATTACTCAAAATAAAAGACATATTGTTATATGGCGTTTAGTTTCAATGAATAAAATCAAAAATTTTTTATTTTACATAAAAAATTATTCAATATAAAATTGATAAATTTAAATATATTTTAAAAAAATTTCCAGGGTACGACCCGACCAGGCCCGAATTTTTTTAAAAATATTAGGCCCGGACCGAACCGATTATTGTTAATAAGAATTAGGCCCGGACCGAAGCCCGTTCGGGTCTTGTACGGGTCGGGCCTAACTTTGCAGATCTATAGTATAGAGTTCTACCTTAGAAATTTCGACACGAAATTTGGTGGGTTACCCTCGATTAATTATTTTAAACAAAAATTCTACCCACAATGCTTGAATTAACGTTGATTCAACATTTAACGGAAGACTTGACCAGGAAATGTTGGATAATTGTTACACCAAATTCCTTAATGCCACATTATAATATATAAATAAATATATATAGACACACGTTCAAATAGCGCATTTTATCGGATGGTTTTTAAAAATGCTTAGACGTCTACGTTGTAATGATCTGTTCCATGGGTCCATCTATATTTCTTAAATTTTTGAGAAGAGCGGTGTTAGAGAAAAAAAATGATTGGAAACACCTACAAACTCTGGCTTCTGAACCTTAGCACCGGAAGTTTATAGGCAGCATTGGCATGCCAAATTCAATCATCATTTTTTGTATTTTATTTTTTTTTCGTATTTTGGTCCAAACTAGATTTCTTTTTTTTTATTTTTGTTTATTCGACGAAATAGTCTTTTAAGATAAAACTCAATAATTTGATTTAAATTTTTGAGTTGGTTGGCAAATAATATAATTTTTTTTTTAATATTGTCAATTTTTTTTAAAAAAATAATATGAAAAATATCCTCTAGGCATACCTTAATATTTCTTAATGTACCGTAATTACTTCTCTGATAAAAAATATAATTATTTTAAAAATATTTTCGATATATCTATCCTTGGTATTGTAAAACGTTACAAGGCCTCTTGTACTTTTGGATAGGTAAAAGTATCGTAAATAACGTACCTACTATCAATGGCGTATAAAAATTTTAGAACAAATCAGCTGGTTTCGCGCCATATTGGGTTTCCGTATATAAAATAATGCATTAAAAATTGATTATAAAAAAAATTTCTTATACTGGAAACCAAAAATAGCGTGTCACCAGCTGTTTGTATTCGACGACGCTTCGACACGCATTTTAATGAACAAATCATCTGTTTGGGGTAGGTATTTAGGGACTGGATTGGAATTAAATCTATATTCTCGCTCCCCTTAACTTTTATAATATTCCCGGCAATGTTTCGCATTTGCATAAATAATTGAATATTTTACCAAGATCAATTTGCTTCACTGATTTGCGTTCAACTGTTCATCGAATAGGCTTCTACCCAGTTAATTCTGATTGGCTCCCGGTCTGTTTTTGATCATATATGGTTTACTGGAAGTTCGTTCACAGCTCGTTGTTTAAGAAAGATAATTCTAAGAAAAATATTCTTAATTCTTATTGGCTGCTTCGAATGTCAAATTTGTTTCAGGAAAATCAATAAGAAAGACACTTTTTTTTTTAATATGTGATACGGGATCACGTGTTCTAGTCCGATCTACTGCATATCATCCTCTAAATGACTGAACCACTTAGCAGGCTTTAGAAAAAAAACATGGTTCTCGCTGAATTCGAACCAACTTTAGGATCGAGATACATGCATCGAACCGAAAATGCCACAGACGTCACTCGAAAACATCAATTTTTTTTTGTTTAAGATAAAAAATTACAACTCTATCTAAATATATGAATTAAAAAAAATCAATAACGTTCAAAGCTATACATCATTTACCAATTTGAAACAGGTCGAATTTACGAAATCTTTTTAATGACGTCATCATTCATCATCTACTAGAAATTGATGAGTTTTTGTTTTGAGGTATTTTTTACCAAATGTTTACCTCCTCCATCTTCATATTGATTTTTGTTTTTATCTAAAAATACCGCACCTTAAAAGGTGTTTTATATTAAAAAAATATAACGTTAGACACTATAAACTAAATTTCTTAATTGGACCGAGAATTAGTGATTTAAGCTAAAATATTGTTGGTTTTTAAAAAAAATAATCTTAATCAGCTGTTAAAAGGCGTGAAACGACGCTAGACGCCCTAAATACCTTTTTCGCATAATTATTTAATTTTAACGAACGCGAGCGACACTTTACAAACGAGAAAGAAAGAAAGAAAAGTAAAAAAAATTTTAAATAAATGAAAAATATTGAAAATAAAAATGTTACGTGACTCTAACATGTGTGCGTTGTTAACAATCAATGAATATATATATTTTTTCTTCAATATTTGTTTATCAAAAAAAAATATATACATTTTGACTAACTTTGTTCCCAATTTACAAATTAAATAAGAAAATAAAATATTATATCTCGTTAAAATGAAAGATTTGATGAAGTGAAATGATATTTTGAGTTTGATTCCTGGTGGAATTAAGGGTAGCTAAGCTCTGCGCTGACTTTAAGTTAAACATTTTTTTTTTAAACTGCTCCACAAAATTTCAAAATTTTTGATACCAAAGCTCCCACAACTGAGGATGATGTAGGATTTTAAATGAGGTAAAAAAAAATATTTATATCGAAAACATGTTGGATTTGATTGGTACGGGAATATAACATCGACGCTAGTAAAAATGTGATTTTGCCCGTTTACTATCCGGCAGAACTCGGTTCGGTCGGGTTGGACCTTCTTCTAGATATTCAAACCTGAACTAAACGGTTAAACCGTTGTTATTTATCGAACCCAAACCTGGAAAATATTTCCAATTTAATTTTTTTTGTTTGTTTAAAGTACATGGTTTTTGGGGTCATTTTGCAAGCATAATTTGGTTCTAAAGGATCTGCACGAATTTAAGACGAGAACTTTAAATATGAATCTAGATGGAAATTTTTAATATTTATTGATCTCGTGGCTATCGGCTAAGTCGATATCCTACCTCTCTACTAGGGAGTCATAGTGACACAATCTGAACGTAAGTTATTAAATGAAAGACCTATTGAATTAGAGAAAGTAAACAATGTTTACCTTAATTATCAACTGTTAGAACATCTAATGCACTGGTGAGGCGATGTATGACATCCCAGACAAAGGCCTACCGCAATTCTTAATTCATCATCACTTAATATCCCTTTACTCTGTCACTAGGTAAAGCATCAAGCCGCCTAGCAGAGGGATATCATTGGATGTAAGAGTTAAGGTTAAAAATAATCAGTTAGTAATTATACGGGCTCATTTAGGTATTCCAGAAATAGTTGTTAGCATTTGGAATGAACTTCTGATAGGGTAAGCGCTTTGGGGTAGATTTGAGATGTAGGAGGATATCAATAAATTTAATGTTAAAAGAGTTTATCCCCAATAGGAGGAATTTCGTTAGAAAAAGAACGATTGGTGTTATTCCTTTTCCCATTTCTAGAACATTTCTGGCCTGATTAAGAAATCTGCAACCCCCCCCCCCCCCCATCAACACAACCGATTGGAAGAATATTTCGCCATTTTTTTTGAAAACTGCATATTAGTTTAACACGACAGCAAAGTAAGGAAAACGGAATAATTAGTTTTTGGCATTTGTCTTTATTTTCGCGACACCTGTACAATGACGGATCATATTTTATTTTCATAGGTAACACTAATATATATATTTTTTTACAAAAAAAATGACAGGTGAAAATAAAATTATCGATAATTATATTATTTTTTCTCAAAAATAAAAATATTTGAATTAGAATAGATAATTAAATACGCAAATTATTTTTAAGGGATTATTTTAAGTTAGTTTCGAGCGCGTTTGGCGCCGAAAAAGTTTTTTTTTTAAAGTTTCCTCGTGGGGGTGAAACTAATTTACCATAAATATTCCACCCGCTATAGCCATTTTAAATCTTACTACCTACCTACCAATGACATGATAATACCTAGACTCACGGTGCATTCGTTATAAAAGTGTACGTCAATTAAAAAACAGCTGGGGGACTCACTATCAAATATGTTCTGAGTCTAACCGCAAACTTTATTATTAAAGAAGCAAGTTATCAATTTAATAATAGTAGTTTTTTTTTAACACGAGAATTAATTACTATACGGGTTCCCAAAATGGCGGGTCCAGCTGATTTGCATTCAACGACGCCTATCATCTTGTAGGGGTAATAAGGTAACCAATATTTTTTAAATAAAAAAAAATACCAACCAAAATGGCTGCTCATGTAATAAAAATTTATTTTTCCTTACAAAACCGCAAATTCACTCCACGAAAAAAAGTTATTTAAAAAAAAATGGCTTTTTTGGAGTGAATCCAGAATAATTTATAACAGAAAATTAAAAAAAATATTTTTTTTTGAATTTAAATCCAAAATAAAATAATATAATGTATTGATTCGATAAATTCTGAAATTTTTTTTTATTGATTTTGATATATTTTTCCTATTATGACTGATATTTTTTTATATTTTTTAATAGCACTTTTAACTTAATCCCAGTTCCGTTCTTGATCGATTGATTTCCCCTATTATCTAACGTCACTTTATTTTCTTTGTAATTTGTTTCTTTCTTATCATCTATAATATGGATATTATTTTTTTAGATTCTTTGAATTCAATCATCAAAATTCGTAAAAAAATTATTTTGATTTATATGAATTTTTTAAAAAAAATATATAACTCCACTAGGTGAATACAAAATGATTGACTCCGACGATCTTAGCGAAATATTTGTCACCCAAATCATCTTTCAAAGCTGAAATTCGACATCGAATCAACAAAAAATAATTTCAAATTTTTCCGGAAAAAAAAACTACAAAATTTAAAAAAAAATTTATCCATTTCTGCTAACGTAAAAATTTAATTCATTTATTAGAAGATTCGATAAAAAAAAAAAATCGTGAATTTAGAAAACGCGACAAAAAAATCGAACAACTTTTAAATTCCACTAGGAAAGAGAAATTTTTTTGGAAATATTTTTATCCCCGAAACAAAACATAAATAAAAAACAATGCTGGCAAAATAAATGCATCATCACACCTTGATAGTTTGTTCAAGATCTTTGAAGCAACCTTGAGATCCTTTTACCCCCGTCATCGTAGCACCTCAATTAATTCACAGCTACTATGTCACTCTTTTTTGCTCAATTAGCTAATTTAGCTTAGAAATTTATTTTCGCGCACGCCTAATCATATTTAACCGTCACTTACACGCTACACCCAGCACTCGTAACGATATTTGTACGCGTTCGTCACCCAAACCACATCTATTCACTTTCAATTTTTTTTTGGTTTGATTTATATTTACACACTTCAAGTGCCGTGAAAAACAAGAATCTATCTATATATATATACACACATATATAAAATGCTGGCCGATAATTCTCTTTGCAAAAGATGTTGCCCGCCACCATCTTGTTTCTGTTTCGCGCCCCGTCGCCGTTCTACTCTCCGGGCCGAAAAAAATAAAGCCCACTCACATGATTCGACCGAGAAGCGTGATGACGTCACCAGGTTTGACATCTGTTTCTATTTTTATTATTATATGATTATCCCTTTTTTTTAAAGAGGTGGGATTTATTATGAAATAAAAGATTATGCATTTTAGATAATATTTGATCAAAAATTTATCTGTGAGCATTATCAAGGAAAAAAATCCTCATAAGATTTTCGAAGAATATTTCTAATTATTCTGTTTCGTTCTCAGTATCTCTCCACCGATAAAAAAAAACAACATTTTATGTAGGTCTAAACGAAAATATTGATAATTTATAATAATTTATAATTGGTATTAGTTTTAACGAATATTAAAATTATAATTTGATTCAATCCAATATTCATTCATCCTGTTCTAAAAGGTCTGATTTTTATGAGAAGGTTTCGTGTTATCCTCACAGAGTTCTAGAAACCTTCGGGATCAAAAAAATGTCATATTTTCTAGAAAACGATAAGACGAAAATTATCCGAGATGCAATCCCGAGATTCTTCAATATTAAATGCTTTAAAATTATCCGGAAATACCGGAAACTGAACTTTTTAAAAAAATCTTATAAAGGAACGGGAATAAAAAAAAATAGTTTTCACGGTGTCCATCATTTTATCAGCTGTTAATTTATTATTATAAACGTTCCAATGAATCCTATATATATTATGAGAGGAATACAAGTCATATTCATATTTTGAAATTTTTTCCGATCCTAAAATAGTTCTTACCCAATTAAAATCTTCCAGATATTTTTGTTTGAGAAAATGTCTTTTTCGAGAGTACCTCGCGCGTGTCAACTCCCATTTTGTTTTTCAAAATATATACTCGGCCCGGATTTTTTTTAAAAAATATATTCGATCGTGCCCGGTTTTTATATTTTTAGGCTCGATCCGGCCCGGATTTTTTTTTAAAAATATTTTCGATCGTGCCCGGTTTTTATATTTTTAGGCTCGATCCGGCCCGGATTTTTTTTTAAAAATATTTTCGATCGTGCCCGGTTTTTATATTTTTAGGCTCGATCCGGCCCGGATTTTTTTTAAAAAATATTTTCGATCGTGCCCGGTTTTTATATTTTTAGGCTCGATCCGGCCCGGATTTTTTTTTTAAAAAATATTTTCGATCTATTTTTGATTTTTATAGCTAATAATGGCGATTTCAAATATTTGGTTTAAAAATATAACTGGCCGGGTCTGCAGGTCTTTGACGAAATATTTTACCTAATTAAACAATTTATAAAAGAGCGAATTATACAAAAATTCCTCTATGAAAACGATTAAACCACTTTGTACACATATATATGTATATATATGATTTATTCATCAACATTTTTCTAGGCCTTTGTTGCCGGCTACGGAACGCGATAAAATGGCGGAAGACGTTGATGAAACTCAGTCGGATGCGGGTATTTTTATAATTTTATTTTCTCTTTTTTTTTTTGCGAAGAACACCTTTTTATAATGCACATGTGAAAACTCGTGTTTACAAGTAATGGGTGTGCGGGTAAAAAATTTTAGACTAATGAGCCGACGGGCGGGAATATTTATTTTGAAAACTATGGGCAGCAAGGTGGGCGACTTTATAGTCCAAAATTCGTCCATTAACGGACCTCTAGTTTCTAACCCCTCCTAATTTAACTCCAACGAGAAAGTCGTTGGTTCGATACGTTTCATAAGAAGTAATATAAATTTGGATCGAAAGACAATGTGAATGACATATAAGACTGGTATGCAGAGTTGTTAAAAGGATCTAGATACAAGTATCTAGATATAAAAATGTGGTATCTGTATCTAGATAGATTTTTGATTAAATAATCTGTATCTAGATATTATTTTAGACGTTGTATCCGTATCTAGATCCATTTAAAAAGTATCTTTTAACAACTCTGCTAGCATGTAAATAAAAACACGCTTAATTAAAGAAATTTTGAATGCCTCGAAGATCAAAATATTAAATTTATTTTTGTAAACAGTTTGGACGACAAGATGGCCGAGGTGAGTGAAAATTCGCGAGTATTTAGCAGTGTCGTTAAACGGCTTATTTTTGAGCCGATTTTTTAAAACGGCTCTAACTCAATACTTCAGCTAGAAAAATTATTGTCTGAGCCTCGAGGTTTCGATAATATATTATCTAGACCTCTGTTCCTTCTATGAGCAAAATCTTCAGGCTCGCGTTATATTTTTCTGGACGAAATATTGTGTTAGAGCCGCTTAACAACACTAGTATTTAGCATCTAAGATGATTGAAATTTGTGAATGATAAATGAAAAATCTCCAATAAAATATTTTGCGAGATTATATTTCCCATAGGAATCGTACCCATATATAATAAAACCGTTTTTTAAAAATATCTCCCATCCCTGACCACTCTCCTTATTTTATTTTTCTTCGTCGCTACTCGTAGTTTAAACGGTAGTTATCGCTAGAGGAGTTTGCGTGTTACGCACGACGCTCTCCCAAAATAGACTTTTAAGGGGCAGATTTTATCGATTATAATTATTTAAAATTTTTAAGTGTCCCTTTCCGCGGTCATTGTACGCGCGAGAGAATCTGTTGTAGGCGCCCCTCCCCCGTAACTTTGATTGGTTGAACTCGGTACATTTGCTTATTTACCTTTTGTTTATTATTACGATTTTTTTTTAAAAAAAAAATAATATGATGCAATATTCTTTAAAAATAAAAATTTTAATTCTTAAAGCCTGATAAAAAAAAATAAATAATATGCCCATTCAGCCAGTAAAATATTTCAAGAACTTATCCTTCCGCTCATTCCTTCCTTCGAAATTTATTTTATCGTATCCTGTATCATTTCCATATTATTTTTTTCCTAAAGGAGGTAAAAAAGCGCGGGAAACCGAAATTATCGACGTGCCTACCTGGGTTACTGGCTTGGCCCAGTACGTGGGCGGACACTTCTCGCAGGCCAACTCGACATCCACGCCTCCTCATCCTCAACGCGACCCCCTTTTGTCGACCTCCGCCAGTAGCAAGCCCTTCAACTATTTTTTTCCCGCCCGCAATCTCCTGACGCCTTCCTTGCTCCGCACTCACATGGCCCAGGCGGGGTATACCATTTTCATGCATTCATTTATATTTTAAGGCAAATTGCGAGTTGTAGTATCGATTGGATTCGTTTTAAGTTTGTATCCTATAAAAGCAGTTTTGGTGCCTTAATTTATAATCAGTCAGACGCGGACCATATTAAAAACCGTGCCCTCTTTCGAGACCCCTAATATATTTAGACGCCTGACGCAAATTTATATCAATTATAACCTAAAATAAAAGGGTCACGAAATGTTCCCCCACTTGCCACGGGAATTCAAACGACGAAAGGGCCCTGTGCAGCGACATGTTGCTCGTCATGTTCCACTTCCTCGAGGATCTACCCGCGTGCTTGGTGCCGACCAGCGTCGGTCTCACCCTCATCCGCGTGCACGATAGTAATTACTCACTTTTTTACCCATTCTTTTTTTGGCGGGTAAATGCGGGCCGCTAAACCCAGCGAAAACTGGAATTCATTCATTTTTAATCGATAATTTGGTGGATTAATCTTCTTGTAAGGAATAACGCGATTTAGGGGGTAAAAAATAGAACAAAAAATAATGGTAATAGATATTAATTAATATTGGAAATTTAAGGGGGGGGGGGGAGGGAAATGGTTATATTTTTTTTGAAAGCCTTATATTATTTCGTGGCATCTTTTTTTTATAAAAAATCGAAATTAATTATTAATGAAGTAAATTTTATGTCGGTGATAAAATGTTATAAATTAAGTTTTTTTTTTCGACTCTTCGCCAAATGTTTACTTAAATTTTTTTTTATATTTAAAAAAATGGCGGGAGCGGGAAATTTTTCCCCGAATAATTCCGCCTTTTTATTTGGCTTTCGCACGTTATTTTTTTTTTTAAAAAAAAAATTGGATATTTAATTTAAGAGGGGGAGATATATTTTATTTATTTTTTTGTTTCGCGTCAATTTTTACAGATGATAAATTTTTAACGAAATTAAAAGGCAATAAAAATGGCGCGTTTTAAAACGGAATTTCCCCCTTTTTTTATGTTCGGTTAATTTTTTAGGAAGAACAAGATGTTTTTTTTATTTATATTAAATCTTGAATGTTTTAAGATTTTAATTTAAAAGTGGGGAAATTAATATCCGTTTTATTCATTCATTCTTTAATCTTGAATGTTTTAAGATTTTAATTTAAAAGTGGGGAAATTAATATCCGTTTTATTCATTCATTCATTTTATCTATCGCCGTGATTTACAGCTGTCAAATAATCCATATTTTTTTTATCGTCATATGGAAATGAACATTGATTATTAAACGAATTCGTTACCAGGGGTCACTCGATCGAAAGTATGATCCCGTAAGATTTCGCTCATTATCCCCTCTAACTACCTATCCACCTAAATAAGTGTTCGTCGTTAGTTTTATCAGTTTTAATAATCTACGATTATTTGAGTAACTTTTTGTGTACCATTTTACCATCCTGTCACGTGTCATTTTCAAACTTGTAAAGTTATCTAAAAAAAAGCAATTACATATGATAATGCCTAGACCGACGACGCATTCATAATAAGGCGTTTTGAAAAGCGTCGTTGAATGCGAATCAGCTGGACCCGCCATTTTGGGAAACCCGTACAGTAATTATTCCCGTGTTAAAAACTACTATTAAATTGATAACTAACTCTCTCTCATTATCTCGGTGATCAGGGCAATTCTTTAATAAAAATGTTTGCTTTAGACATAGGAATAAATTGGCCTTAAGTTTAAATTTTCTTTAATAATAATACGGGTAATCAAAATGGCGTCCCCAGCTGTTTTTCATTGATTTACACTTTTAACGAATGCATCGTCAGTCCAGGTATCATGTCATTGCTAAAAAAAAACCAAAAAAAAAATATCGTTTATGGTTTGGAATGAGTGTTAAGGATGTAAAATGCTAATATATTAAAGTGTCAGTCGTCGGGCTCTTTAAATCCGTTTTTTTCTCCGCGGAAATGTATTTCAGCGCGGCGTAGAATAACTGCCCTAGGAATTTTTTAGACACCCTTTGCCGCGAACCCGAACCATTCCATTAAATGCGTGGATGTCATTAATATGTCCACGAAATTCTTAGGGTAAATATTCTGCACTGCGCAGCTGCTTGGAATATGTTTTAAAAATAACAATGATATACATATTTTACGAAAACTTTTTGTAATTTCTTCTGTAGAGTGGCTTTTAACTCATCACGTGATCTCTGACGTTGGCAACGAGGATATGGATCTCCTGAGGCAGTATTCGGCGTGCCTCGAAAGCAGCATGCCCACCCGGAACTACAGACTCATGGTGTACATTTTGAGTTTCCTGCACGACCTCTGGATCCAATCCAACAAAAGTCCCAATCTCATGGAAAACTTCGTCACTTGCTTCTCCTGTACCACCATCTCCATGTAATCAAATTAACTTTTATTTTAAGAAATGAATGTGCCATTATTTCGGCTCGCAGTGGGACAGAGTTGCGTCACATCCGGTTATCCAATATTTCTTTCAATTTCCGAAATAATTTATCTTACTTCACCCTTTAAATTTCGAATACCCGTCGGGCTGGCGCCTTTCCGAAACAGTCAAGAGAAAATGATAGAAATATTCCTATAGTTTAGGGGGAGGGAAAATCTCGTTGCTAACAATGTTTTTAAAAATTAAATTTTTTACGTTATTTAACGCGGCGTTATGATGATAAAGCTACGATAAAAATTGAAAAACATATGTTGCGAATAATATAACGAATTCGATAAAAAAAGCTATATGTATGATTTTCGTTAAATATTATATAAAATAATTATCTCTATTTTTTTTTAAACTTCATCTTAATTTAAGTTTTCAAAGATTGAATCACCTGTAGCGTAAGGTAATTCGCTATAAAATTATCGCAACTTCGAAATTAAGTTATATCGAAATAAATTATTAAATCATTAGAATCTTGAAAATTAATCGTAAATTACCGTTATTAAAATCATTGTAATTTAAATGTATAAATAAACTACATTTTAAAAAAAAAAAGAAGGTTGCTTGCAAAGATATGCAAAAAGGGATAATGTAAAGTCGATTGTAATTTAGGTTGTATATATATATATAAAAGAAGAAATAGTGTTTATAACGCTATTTTATAAATAGCAGAGTTGTTAAAAGATACTTTTTAAATGGATCTAGATACAGATACAACGTCTAAAATAATATCTAGATACAGATTATTTAATCAAAAATCTATCTAGATTCAGATACAGATACCACATTTTTATATCTAGATACTTGTATCTAGATCCTTTAACAACTCTGATAAATAGCTATTTATGGTTAAAAATGATCACGCGATTGGCTCCCGTCCTTTTTAAAGATTAGTTTATTTAAAATAGAAAGTGTGTGTGTGAATATAAATTTTTGCCATTATTTAATCTGTTAGCGTCCATGTCTTTTTTTCCGGAAATGTATTATTTTTACAAATTTTTAAATCATTTTTTGAGCGTGTTTTTTTATAAATTTGAAAATAGGATTTTGCCGGGAAATATATTCTATCTTGTTTGGAAAAAACCTATCTTATAAATTGTAGGCCACTTAGTATATATAACAAATTAATACGTTAAACACGATAGAACTTTTTTGAGCAGTATCCTTAGTATCTGTTGGAATAGGGAGATACATATGATGCAACTCTGCCAATCTGTTATATTTTACCAAAAAAAAAGAGATGAATGAATCACTAATAATTTTATATGAGCAAAGGATTCTATCTATTTATTCATTTTCGCCATGTTAAACTCGAACTTCATTTTATATAATTTTTTTCCCGTGAATAGTCAAAAGAACGAAACGTTGCTGGACACGCTATCCTATGACGGGCCCCTCGTGCTGAACTACAGCCAAAACAATCATCACCAAAATTCTAGGGATCACCACCAACTTAACGCTAGGCTGGGCGCCCCATCCTCCAAGGATTCCCTCATTATAAAGGGGTGGACTGAAATTGTGAGGGCCTTGCTCAGCCATTGTCACCTCATCTTCAGGACCGATATGCAATTTCATTCGAAACCGGATATTATAACCGGCCATGTCATCGGGACGGGTAGTGAAGATATTCGACAATCATCGGTTCACACGTCGACTAGCACGGGTAAAACTTGATAAAATATTAACGGTTGCGCTATTTAAGAAAAGCAATGGGTGGTCATGCTCGTGGTGTTTCAAGATAATTTTGAGTCTTGTAAAACAGATAACTAGATATTTTATTAAAATTAAATAATGTGCGTTTTATATATACCTAATAGCACCAGACGGGATCAATAACCTAACGTTCTTGAAGATCATGAGAGGTGAAAGGACCTTGATAATGCCGATCAACGAACTCGTCAAGAAATTGGCCAGCAACATTCAAAACAAAAGGTTTCTTTATTATAGCATCGAATTTCGTGGCAATTAGAGGGAACAGAAGCACCTCGTAATTAACAGTTCTAGCCCTCGATTAAGCATTTTCGTTATGTTTTGGTTTTAAAACACTGTTAAAATTTTTCGTTCCTTTTCCGGTTATAATAATTCGTTATATTTTTTGGTTATATAATTTGTTCCATTTCCGGTTTTATAATATCAGTCTCTTTTTTTAAAAAAAAATCAAATTTATAACCGGGCATTCCTAGGGGGCCTCCTAGTCTCTAGTGAACGTAATTCGTATGTGGATTCATTTTACGGAAATGAAATACTGTTTATAACTGTTAAATAATTTAAAGTATTATAATGAATAGTTTTTTGGGGCAAATTTGAAGGCTTATTTTAAATTGATAGATCGAAATCCATCGATGCCTCCCTTTACGCCAACGCCATATTACACCCATCCAAATCTTCGCCCGATCTGTGTTCCAACTTTGTGAGGCCTACGACTCCCCCGGTATCCGGTCACTGTCATAGTCACCACCATCATCGGCACGCGCATAACCATCATCATTCGACCTATAGTAAGAATCCATAAATTTATATATATATATATACTCACCCTTCCATTTACTTTAAATTATGCTATATGTCTTCTTATTTGAATTTAACTTATCTCCATTGTTATGTCCTATGCCAAAATATTGACAAGGGATCAATAACCATTACAATTCGATATATGGGTACTCATAATCCATTATTACCTATATAAACCCATTTAACGGCAATCGATGTTTTATAAATATAGAATCATTGGCTTTGAAACCTAAGATGGAAATGGTGCGAGCTGCTATAATCCCGAAAGTCTACGAAATCAGCACCAACAGTGTCACAGGTGTTTTATTTCTCTCAAAATAATTTGTATTACTTTCTTAAATTTTTTAATCAAGAGGGGGGGGGGTTCCTTCCCTATTATTTATTTATCTTAATATTTTTTATTTATTTATTCTTTCAGAACTTCTGATTCTCGAGGAAAACCAGGTTGCCGCCGAATTCAATTTAACCAAAACCAGAGGTTTTTATTTGTGCACAGTTTATTCAATATTTTTAATGACTGGCTATGTTTATCCTCGTAGTCTAAGTTCAATAAAGTTTTCGTTACAATGGCAAGAACTTCGGAGGGGGGGGGGGAAAACTAGTCCCCTGGTAACCCCACTGTCTTATTTTTTTTAACTTTCATATGGCCTAATATAATCATCGGTATATCTGAGATTTATGGTGTACGTAAACAAAACATAACATTGTTACTTTGTTTACAATCCAGAGCATTGGATCTGCGGTGGAAGCAGTAGCAGTAGCGGGGACAGTGACATTAGATCCTCAAAAATGGACGCTTCCCTATCCTTTTCTATCTTGGAATCTTCGGATCTGGGTCAGCAATTGGACGACGTTATCATCGGTAACATTTTATTTGCTCACTCATTACGTTTGTATTAAAATCCCAAACACGTGATTATACGTATATAAGCAAACCGGCGGTTTTTATCAATGTTGGCATTTCTTTTTTCCCCGCTTATTAAGTTATAAAATCTTATTTTGAGGTATTTTCAAGATCATTGGTCGCTTACAGAATGTTCTAGAAAGGTAATCTAAAATTTTGTGTCGAATGTTTGTCCAATAAATGCCTCATCGATGTAATGACGTATAATAATACCTAGACTGACGACGCATTCGTAACAATGCTTTTTGAAAGCGTCGTTGAATGCGGATCAGCTGGACCCGCCATTTTGGTAACCCATGTAGTAATTATTCTCATGTTTAAAACTACTGTTTAATTGATGACCCGCCTCCTTATCATCTCGATGATCAGGCAATTCTTTAAAAAAAGTTTGCGTCAGACATAGAAATAAATTGGCCTCTCGTTTAAAATTTCCTAATAATGATATGGGTTACCAAAATGGCGTCCCCAGTGTTTTTATTGATGTACACTTTTAACGAATGCATCGTCAGCCTAGATATTGTTATTATTATGTCATTGATTGATACTTTAGAGAAAGTGATTTGATTGGACAAATTTACTTTGAAAAAATGTTTAGTTTTCGTTCATCCTCTATGATTTATAGCTGTTTTCGAACATAAATTACGAACGACTTTTATTGGACTTTTTTTTCTTCAAACAGCAGCAAAGTTTTTAGAGAGTAAAGAGCATTCATTAAAATCCCCCTTCATAGTGAAAATCTGTATAAACTCAGTGTAAGAAGACGAGGTTTAGGTAGAGAAGCTCAGCTTAGCATTTCTCTGGCAGCCTAGTAATCCAAAGACAACTAAATCCTGTATCAATTACACTGTTGAGGTCAGATTTTCCCATCTACGGACATGAATGAGACATTGAGGAGGAGTTCCCGTGATTCCTTCCATATGCATTTTCCAACTATGTTCACGTAGTAATTGTCCACTCAAGTTGCACAGGGTTTAAAGTAAGGAATATACTCAATAGTAGGATACAGATTGACTTTATTCTCAGGATATCCGCTATAATTTCTCTCGAGGATTTTGATCTGCTCAAATAATGTGTTTGATCCATCATTTAAATTTGTTGTAATAGCTAGTATAGACCTAGCGTTATCGAACTTAGATAAATATTGCTCTTGTATGCTAATGTTTGTCAATGAATATAATCGATTTCCTAGTTTAGGATTATATGGTGTTAGAGACATAAGAGTTTGTATTAATTTCTCCTTTTCATCTTCAGCATCATCCAAATACTCTTTTAATAGCAGAATTCTGAATTAGCTTTGGAAGTTGTTCTATACATGATCATAAGTAATTCTCTGGTTGTGTTGGCATCGAAATAGGAAGACTATCCGGGTCTTTTAATAGACTTCCATAATCTAAAGAGTGTTTCAGGGAAAAAGTTATATAAATACCTATAATAGCTTTATAGATAGGATGTGAATATAGTGTTTTCACCATAGATAAATTTAAAGTGAGTGGATCTTTAATAGCTCTAGTTGCGAAATTACCGTATAAAGTAAAAACCTCCTATATGCCGTGTGATTAACAATAATGATGCTGTATGATGGTAGAGACTTTAGCCAAAGTAGTTTAAAACGTAGGAGATGTCCATGTCCCTATTTCGTGGAAAATTCTAGTTGCAATTGTTAAAAATAACGAATTGAAATTAGCAGGTCGTTTCTATGGTAAAATGACTCATGAAATGAGGATCTACCAAGTGTGTATGGAAGAGAATTTAGCCGATTTTATTCTCCCATATATAGCGGGTCAGACTATGACCATGTCTGAAGAGAAATTAAAAAGAACAATATGCCAAATGACAGCACCTTATGATTACAATAGTATTGAAAAATGAGAATGCTTTCCTTTGGGAATATCTGTGAGTATGAGTAAATATTTTGGAGGCCGAACCCATTGTCTAATTCTAAAAATGTTGGAGTTGCAATTTCTGATCGAAAGTTTGTACACCAAGAGGAAAAGTAAACTATAAAATGGGGGATGATGCTGAAGATGAAAAGGAGAAATTAATACAAACTTCTATATCTCTAACACCATATAATCCTAAACTAGGAAATCGATTATATTCATTGACAAACATTAGTATACAAGAGCAATATTTATCTAAGTTCGATAACGCTGGTCTATACTAGCTATTACAACAAATTTACATGATGGATCAAACACATTATTTGAGGAGATCAAGATCCTCGAGAGGAATTATAGCGGATATCTTGAGAATAAAGTCAATCTGTATCCTACTATTGAATATATTCCTTACTTTAAACCCTGTGCAACCTTGAGTGGGCAATTATTACGTAAACATAGTTGGAAAATGCATATGGAAGGAATCACGGGAACTCTTCCTCAATGTCTCATTCATGTCCGTAGATGGGAAAATCTGACCTCAATATCATCTTGCCTGTTGTATCTATTCAAGTCACCAATTCCATAAATATAGATGATTATGAAGACGCGATATTCCCTTTCCTTAACAAAAGACGTACTCAACAATCAGTGGATATAAACCAAATCAAGAAAAAACCCATTTTACGTATGGATATATCTAGAGCACTGTCCTTGTCAGAAATTAATTATATGTTCGCATATAAAAATAATCCAAAAGCGATTAAAAAGGAACATAGATTATTGTTAGATTATTTAAATCAATACAATATAATTTGTTATGACCCTCATGAATTTATTCCCATCATGATGAACAATACCACTGAACTCAGAAACAATAATGTGAATAGTGAAGAAGAGTTAATAACATTATTAAAGATTGCAATGGATTGCACATCAATAAGTGTACAATATTGGTTCGATAGGAAAATTATATTTACACTCCCCAATATTCCTGCGTGGTTACTGTTATTATATAATATTAAATACCAATTAGAACAAATTTATGACTCGTTAACAAATACATCCACGTTCCAAGAAAGCCTTACACTTTGCAACGGTAAGAGACTATGTTTTGGAAATCTACTATTATTTTGCATCAACACCAAATATTATTTAATAACACACATACTATTCTAACGTGTTTCTACAAAATATGCTTCTTGTATATTTTGTGATAAGATTAGTGACACAATAGATATAATATGTCATTTATCATTGCAAGAGCCTAGAAAATATTTTGATGTTCTAAAAGCTTGGCCTTCTTTAGTAATCGCAAGTATATTATTACAGACAGAGAATAATAAAGTATTACATACAGAAGTGCTATCTGATCTACCTATAGTATTGCAACATCCCTATAGATTGTTATTTTTACCCTTAATTAAATATAATGAATGCCCCTTACTCTCAACCCTTCCCTCTCAAAAATATAACGTAACAATCCAAAACAATCCTTTTCTAATAATTAAATAAATATCAACATTTATTCGTGCAAATATATAAAAATATGATCCATCCTGGCTTCATCCTATATAATGTCTTCTTCACTCCAAACCGCACACAAAGAAACTTTTATTGTTCTTTACCAAGAACCCATGTGTTCATTTCGTTTCACTCCCATCCACCACAAGGAAACACTAATTCCCCTGTCAGAAAATAACTGACATTTGATATATTATATTAAATTTATTTCTTCTTTTTTTCAACAGCTACAACAGAAAATATTAATTTTCTTTATTGAAACGTAGAGCGAATGCTATTCATTGCTGATACGAATCAAATAATATGAAAAGAGAAGAAAACAAATATATATATTGGAGCGGTCTTTTAATCGATAGGTTAATTTGATGAAGTGTTTTTGAACGCATTCGAACAGAAAAGTTGTTACATTATTATATTATTTTTTTGCATGGCAGGCACTTCAGCAATCTGAAATAGGTCTTTTTCTAAATTGTTTAAAATATACAGACATGTTATTTGCAAATTTTTAATTATAATAACAGCTATTTTTTGTGTTATGCTATTCCAATCTTCTTCTCAATCGTTTAGCTGCTTTTACAGGTTTACCCGGGTAGTTCATTTCCCCTTCTACTCGCCCTTTAATCTATTTACCACGGTCCTGGGTATCGTCCCGGGTCAAACCTAACAGTTTTATGCCATTATCGGGCACTTTCACTCAGCTTGTTCTTTGATCGCCCCCCCCGGGTCTTGTTTCCTTCAGATCCAACCAAGGGTATCTATCCAACTAATCATCCCTTGATTTCCACTTTGAATATGCTTAAAGGAAGCAAAGGATGCTTATTTAATATGTTATCATATTAAATAAATCAAATTCTTTTATAGCAAGTAATATTAAGTTTTAAAATAAGTTAAAAATTAGTTTTTTTTTTCCTATTAATATAATTAATAAATAATGAATATTATTTTAAATCAAATAATCACGTCGCCAAATTTTTATATAGCGGTGGCGTGATCACTGATGCCGCGATTTGATCGACGGAATTGTACGATATTAAATTTAATATGGCGACATTTTTATTAGAAAAGGATTATGTATGTATGATCGTTTTTTATAACTTTAAACACTAAACAGATGATTACATACCCACGCTTCCTAGCAAGAGGGGCTCGGACGCTACTTTGGTCAATTATAACTCTGACATCATGCCCGATAGCAATATTGACTCTTTGCGCGACATATTATCACAAGTTTTTTTTTATATATAATTTTACCCACTGATATAAACGCCGCCATCATTTACTTAGAAACGGCGGGAAATTAGTGTCCGATCGAATTTAAATTAATGTTATCATAGTTCGATTTGACCACCAACTGGAAAATTATGCCCATCTACCTTTCCACTTTATATTTTTAGGACCAATTTGAACATCAAAAATTTTCTGAATACCTAAACTAGTTGCTATAGCTAAGGCCTCTCTTATAGTTAGGGTTATTTAAATTTATTAAAATGTAGGATTCTGACACGTACCTCAAATCTTTTTATTTAAAAATATGTCTCACTCATAACACTATCGGTTCTCTTTATTTTAAAGTGTTCGGAAGTAGAAGAAGATGATTGGACCGATATTAGCTATATCCATGACGATGACTCTCAGGGCAGAACTTTCGGGAAGGTGAGATTTTCCGACAGTTATAATCATGAGATTATTCCGATGTTCGATCTTCCTGGCTATCGCTCTAACAGGTTATATTTTTTTTTTACTAACGGAATAATTTATGCTACTTTAAAACTACTTACTATTTCGTAAAAATTTATCCCCTCGAAACATGTAAATTTAAAAAAAATAAAAATTAAATCATCTGCAGATATTCCTACCCACCAAGTCCGAGTTACTACAAAAATTGCAGAGAAAATACTAGGTCGTCGATGAACTGTTACGATTTACCTCCCCCTTCTCCTCCATCCTCTCATCAAAGCTATCGGTTTGGTTAGATTTATTTTAACTCCTCTAGGCCTTCTAAAATATGGAATATTACATGTATAATATTAAACCTTAGGGTCTAATATATTGATATTCATATTTGATTGGTTAAACGAATATAACTAATTGGTTATAGGTCTTCTTTATTCCGTACAACACTTACTATTATTAATACGCCGACTTTTTTTTGTTACCGTTTCCTTGCATAATTTCCCATGTTTTCTTACTTTATAAGAGGAATAAACAATTTTATTTTAATATATACCGCATTCCGAACCCCATTTTAACTCAATTTTGACAGTATTAAAATTGTAAAAAAAAATAGCACAGAAAAAGTTGGGATAGCACTTAAAATACTATTCAATTTTACCGATCCTTGATTTCATCAACCAAGACCTGATTTGGGTTGGAGTTGAAACAGTATTTAATTATAATTTCGCTTAATTCCACATAAATTAAGTTAAGGGTTAAGATTTAGCAGGTAATTTAGGGGTGGCTTATACTTTAAACCAACTTAGTAGATGGAGCTAGGATTAATATCGGTCTGATATGAGACACGGTTAAAATATAATCACCATTAGGATTGAAAAGCACGGTATAAAGCTTGGCAGATATCAGAAGTTTTTTACCATTCATTTCTTATGTCTAGCGATTAACTCGTGCTAACCCCAAAGGGGCTTAAACCTAGTTTCAAGCTGTTCATCGTGACTTAAACTTAAGGTTCGAGCCAATATTTTTGGCTAACCTTGCGGGTTTAAGGCGATATTTTTTTTAGTTTAACCTCAAGGTTTTGGGGATAAATATATTATTTTAGTTAAACATTATTATTATAAGTTGGTGGTTGGGGTTTATATGACACAATTTACTTTTTAAGATAAAATTTCGTTTATTTATTTGACCAACTTAACGTGATTTTATAAGCTTTATTTTTATAATACAGATCTCAGTTAGTGAGCAACAAAGTTAGCAACTAGATTTGTGAACTAATTTTTTGCGGATATTATATGGCTAATATTTTTTTAACGATGCAAGATATTTACTAAATTAAAATGTTTAATTTGATGTGAGTTCATCATAGGTGGGCCATTTTCAGAGAGCTATTCCTCCTTGGAATCAATTTTGAATGTATTTTTTTTTTCTCACCCCCCAAAAAAATCGAAATATAAAACAGCGAATTTTTCGATCTGGCGCGCAATAAATGCTCCACCGGCGGGAAATTGGATAGGAATGGGTGTCCGCTATCGCCTACCGCAGCGGCCTTTCACGAGATGAACAAAAAATTGCAGAGTGAGTTCGAATTATTTTTTTTTACCGCTTATCAATTTGGAACATTTATTTTTTCTGAGGAGTATTGGGGTTAGACCCGATCTATAGCCTCATTATTAGTTTATAGAAATCCTAATCCCTATTTCCCAACTTCCTAGGATTTTTCATCCCGAAGTGAATGAATAGCTTAGGATGGAAAATCTCCTACGAGGTTGGAAATTGTTGCTAAAATCAGGAAAATTGTCAGGTTGCCAAAACAAATAAAATAAAATTTTTGTTTTTTTTTAGCTTACGAAAAGAAATTGAAACGCTACGAAGAAAGCTTTGAACGCAAAAGGGGACACAAGGTACGGATTTAACCATACAAATCTGTTTAATGGAAAGAAAGATAGAGCCCCAGTGATTGTCGCAGTTTTTTTTAAAGAGAGCTAGCCTTTAGGCGGATGTTATTTTATCCGTCTATTTTTCTATTGAATATTTTTTTTCGGCTTAAATTATGGTTCTTTTTATTAAGGGAACACCGCGACTGGTTTTGTATATAAAATTTAATCGTGTTTATTATTTTTTTTAATATTGGGCCTTTTTCTATAGCACTTCTTTATGTAAATATTGGATATATCGAATTGGAAAATAAGGAACTTATTATAAATCAAAAAAAATAAATATTTAGGCCACTCAAGATGAGAAATTGACTATTTACGAAATGAAGAAATACATCAACAAGATTGACAAAATCAAGAAAGAGCTCAAAAGTAATTGATTTACTTTATCCCCTTACCTCCCCCCCTTATCTTAAAAACCTGCAGCGGTGGTGCGGTTATTAAAAATATCATTATCCAACGGGGAGGGTTTTTGAAAAATATAATTTGATTCACTTATGACATCCGAGTACACTGATCCCGGTTTTGGTTGGTCCGGGATTTGCAAATTTAATCACTTAAGAATTTTCATCGATGCTCTCTTAACATCCGATAATGATTTAAATCTATGTCGATACAAAAGCTATAAGGATTCGTAGCAAATCGATAAGTTATCTAGACTTAGACTTGGCACCTACGAATACTCAAGTGGGCGATAAGGGAGAAGTTTCTTCCCCTCCGGATCCCGTCATCACCCTAACGCGCGCCTTCAAATCTACCTTTCCTCAGATCGTTTCGGACTCGTCATCCCAATACGATCATATGTTGGCTCTCATTATGGAGGTATATATATTATTTTTTTTTATTAAAATTAGAGAATCGCTCATCCCTCAAGTTGGAAGTAATAGTCGTCATATCCTGAATCATGCGATTTTTTTATACAAGATTCTAATGTGTCGCTTAGAAGTGTTTCTTTATTTTAAGCCTTGGATTCCATCCATTAAAGGTCGACAAGACCCCGTCCAAACTTGTTCCCCTGAAAATGTTCGGGAATATTTTTCGGACTGACTTAAATTAGCCCAATCAGTCCCTAATAATTATACTAGGTAGGAAAAGGACGTTAAATTTTTTCTTAATTTGTGAGCTTTTATATATATATAAAATTTAACTTCCGGTCCAAATTGGTCCGGACCGGCCCTTAGACTGCGCATTTCGAAACGAACCACGCCCGTTTCTGTCATCTATATTGTTCGGACTTCTCGTAACTTTTGTTTTAACTGTTATACTCTCATTCGAAAACTTTTGAAAAAAACTTATGAATGGAATACAGGAATTGAACAAGGAGAGCATTTACAAGCAAAAATTGATTCTGCAGAAAGTGTTGCTGCATTTCGAGAGCGTCCACGGCAAACCGCCTTTCCCCCTCAAGTCCATCATGCATATCATGAAGCCGTTGTACTGCAAGTATAGGCGTATCAAAAATATTCTCACCAGGAACTCGGTAACTCTTATTATGTTTTAGGACAGTTTACATTTATTGTGAATGAGTTAACGTAGAAAGTTCCATAACTTAAAAAAAAGTATACTTTAAGAAAAATAGGGGAAGTGAACTGGAACGATTTAAGCAAAATTATCCAAAATACAGCATTCCAGAATTTTCTTGGTTCTCCTAAAAAAAGGATTTTAATAATTTAAAAGAACTAGAATAGAGCGACCCTAAAAAAAATGTCTGTCATTGCTCCAGTGTCCCTGATTTCGATTAAATTACCCGTTTTTCATGGTTTAATTTTGGTAGGAGATCAGGCTTTAAACTTGATCAAGGTTGTGGTGATGTATTATTACCTGACTTTGACCACTCCAATATGGCGCGGTCAAGATTATCCCCTAAAAAATTGACTTAAACGTCTAGGTTTAGCCTCTTAATGATAGAGACTATTTTTATTAGAATAAAACCTTGACTTACGCCTAGAGCTGTCCAAAGTTAGATGGTTTAGCAACACTACAAGGTTAGTTAACTTTTAAAAAGAATATATATTTTTTTTTAAAAATCGTTTCTAGCCGAGAATATCCATGCCGGAACTACCGACTATAATAGAAGGTCATCAATGGAACGTCTCGAGCGAAGATATCCCGAACAGAATTTCGCGTTACAAGAACGCGAAATCGGCCGAAATCAGCCCAGTTTACATTTATATATTTTTTTTTAAAAAAAATTTGTTTTTTTCGCCTCCAAATGGTAACTTTGTAATTGGTTAATAATAAGAGTGGTAAACACCAATCAGCATTCGATTAGATAGGCCAGACTCATATGCGTGTAGATGACAGTGCACCGTGTATTACGTGTTAATGGCCATCTTTAGCATCTATTGTAAAGATACTTCTAAAACCATGGGGGTTATAACAAAGAATCGTCCTAATAAATGCCGATTTTAAATTTGCTGTTTTGTTTACTTAATTTTTAAGGTTTCTTTATGCTTTAAGAAAATGATTTAATATGCTTTATTTTTGTATTCTTATCCGCTAATTTGCGCAAACGGTGAAATCAGGGTTAGGGGGAGGGGTTAATATCGTCATTGGTAACCCTACTAAAATATTATTAGTTTATTATATTTTTTGTAAAGGGAAAATATATTTGATAATTAATTCTTAACTATAATGATTAAATTGGAAAGTTGCAAGTCGCATCTTTAAAGTAACTAAGCTGTTCATTTAGTCGACTCAAGTCGGAGTCGATTTTTAGAAACTAGGCTCGAGTCGCAGCTAAGTCGACTCTGCTTAGCCGTTTAACAACACTTCTTCTCCGTTTAATAGCGATTTCTAGGTTTACCCAGGTTGGCCAGTTATCCCTCTGATTTAATCGTTAGGAAATTTCGTCACGATGGCCATTTTGGCCAAAAAAAAATAGCGCGCTATTGGTTATGGATTGATTATCGAAACCAAAGAAGGTAGCACGTTACAGTAGCGCACACTTTTAACGAATCTCGAAATATTTATACTTTTTAAATTTAATTTAAAAAAAAAACATTATAACAGAGCAACATGTTGTCACCTCAGCCAGCCTACGATTCCTTCTTAAACCCTTCCCGGCCTTTTTTCAATTTTCCTTGTTCGGATTTACCGGCTCTTGGCAGGGAGAAAGACGTCCCCGATCACCAATGTATATTATCATTTTTTCCTCTCTCCATGCCATTCATAGTTGTCACTCAAAATTCTTGGGATCCTAACTTAAAGAGAACTTATCTAAATTTATTTTATTTTTTTAGATGAAAGCGTGACGAGAGATGATATAGACATTGGGGCGGGTTTTTTCCACCACTCCTCTCCCCAACCTCAAATCCAGATCGAAGAAATGGACAAACTTCCCGAGCTTCCTAATCCTAACACTTTAGCTTCCATGAATTCCAACATTCATTCAGCTTCCTTGTAAGTATTTTACAGTATACTCCTAATAATCCCTTAATTATTATTTTTTTAAAAATTGTATCGTTAAATAGTTACAATTAAAGTAACTCTAAATTAGTTACCTTCAATAGCACTTGTTTTAAAGTAATAGCATAGATTATACTCATTCTAAAACTCTGTACCGAAAATTGAGCGCAGCAATATATATTATTTTTTTGATGGCGTGGTTTTCTTCAGGCAAGATTTGTTGGAAGAGCGCAAAAAGATTCGGGAAGCCAAAAAAAGATTAAAGAAGATGACGTATATTCCTCTTGACATACCGGCCGATGCCTCTGATTCCTGGGAGGTAAAAAAAGAAGAGGGTGGTAAAAGAACCTATTTCGTCCCCAACATCGAGTACTACCAGGCTTACAAGGTATAGAACAAACACATCATATATATATATATTTTTTTTTGAATAACTAAATATATGGGGAATTCAAAATCAATATCATACGGGCCAATTTTCGGCAGGTTTTATAATCTGTTTCGGACACATTTTGACGTAAACTTGCTAACGGTAAAGTCACCTACTACCCGTTCTGAAATACATTTTCGCTCAAGTCAGATTTTTAAAAATCCCCACCCTTGGTCGATGGATTGGGTCGTGTCTATTGCACGACCATAATATCAATATTTTTTGCTATTCAAATCCCCGTATAAAATTTAGATGAGTCCCTAAAAAAATCGTTTTTTTTAGCCTGTTGCGATTCAGAGCCTTCGGGCTGGGTCTTGCAGGAATTTTTACCTTATAAGTTACTTTTTGGTAAATAATAAGGATTTTTTTTAAACATGTGATCATATCAAGATGTCTAAGAATAAGCTGAAGTTGGTTAACGCTCTCATCGTGAAATTAGAAAATAAATGAAGACAGCAATAAATTTGAAAAAAAAGTCGGAGCTGAAGCGGAAGTAAATCCTCGGAATTATGCTGATTTAATGGATCTTAGTAAATCTAAAAATTACCAACTCCACGTTTCGAAATGATTGATTGGCATACACCATTTTATTTATTTGTTTTTTTTTTACTAGTCCCCAATTTTGCGTTAGTGCATATATGGTTGGCGAATTAGATTTGATATATACACCTTATATTTATATTTAATTTTTTTTATATGGCAGACATTTTTAGATGATCGCATTTATTTACTTTGACATCTCTCTCTCCCACATTTGTTAGAAATTTCTTGATACCTAATATATTTTATTATATTATTTAGATTTTTACTACCAAAATATATATTTTTTTTTTATATATATATCATAATATAAAATGGACATATATTTTAAGATTTGACTTTTATAAGGTATATAATGATATTTTTTTTAAAAAAAATAAAACAAAAAAAACGTACAACTTTATATATTAATTCATTTTTTTTGTAAAAAAAGGCTTAGCTACTAAAATTTAAAGTTTAAAAATTATGGCTCTGTTTACTTAAATGAATGTTTCGATAATCAAATCAAAATACAAATATTCATAATAATACTTTTTACATCTTCGTTTTATTTTTTATTTATGAACAAAGAATTTTTTTTTTGATATCAGTGAATTTTGTTCTAATTTTATTTTTCTTCTGAGTGACAGACAATGCCCTTACATACACATTTATATACCAATTCTTTATTAAATAATATATTATAAAAAAAAAATATATAAATAAATAATATTTTTACGAAAAACGTAAACGAAAGAATATATTAATTTAGCCATAAAAAAAATCAAATAATTTATTATTATATTATATTATATTATGTTAAAAAATATATAAAATGATAAATTTAATGAACCTTAAGCTATCGTGTTATTATAATAATTAATTTATTTATGTAAAAACAAGACAAACAAAATTATAGAACTTAATTCATTCATTTTAATTCATATTAACGCGTATCGTATTAATTATTATTGGAGATTTAAATATTAAAAATGTTTGTAGCTTTATTACCAATTCATCATTTCTTTGATCCATATTTTATATTTTCATAATTCATATTAGCATTATTTATATAATATTTTTATTGTTTATAATAGTTTTATCGTACCTTCTTTTTAACTATTTAAAATTTTATAACCAATATTTAATTATTTTTTTTTCTAGGTTAAGTATAATTGGGCTAAAAATTTAGATAGATAATATAAATAAAGGTTATAATTTTTCCTTTGAAAATAGTTTGCCGTTTTATAACATGAAATTATTTTTTTATTGCAAATATCGTTGGTAAAAAAAATATTGTCGCGTATATTATAGTCGTTTTGGGGTTTAAATTACATGAATAGTAAGTAAAATAGTGTTGTTAATAAGCCCAGCCTCAGCCAAACGGTTCGATTCATTTAAAGATTAAATCGTAAAATCGGGGTCTACAACGGGCGGCTTGTTAACCCATAAGTCGGCCCATATTTTTAACCCACGACTAACCCATATAAAAAAATAAATATTCCCATACTTTCAAGCATCTAATAAAAAAAAAATCTATTTCGTGGCTACATCGCTACAAAAAGAGTTTTGTAATTTAGGAAATTAATATTCAATTTAAATTACGGGGGAGGAATTTGTTTGATCAAATAAAATATTTATGAAAAAAAATATATAATTAATATTACTTGTGTAATTATGATGCTAAAATAATAATAAATCCACTTTTTCAGGATTCAAACTTGTTTTTCTTTATTCCAAAAACCTTCCAGCAATGCCAAATCCTCGTTCCAAGTTGCCAATATATTTCTGGCTAATCTTGAAAGCTTTGGTAACTTCCTCAAATGATATCTTTAAAATAAATAATGAAACCATTAATAATAAATTTTAAAAAAGTATTATAAATTGTTTGTGGTGTAACTGTCGATTTGTAATTGCCAGATATGAACGTTTTAGAACTTTAATAATCTAAGCATTTAGAACCATAAAAGTTAGGACACTTAGTGCCAGTTTGGGCGTTTATAGCTAAAATATTTTAGACATTTGCAGCTAAAATAGTCTAGTCATTTATAGATAGTCAAGGCATTTATAACCAAAATAATCTAAGAATTTAGAGCCAGTCTAGGGATCTATATCTAAAATAGTCTGGGTCTAGGTTATTAGAGATCAATAGTCTAGTTATCTAGAGCCTGTCTTCATTCAAAGCCATAAAAGTCTAGTCATTTATGGGCAAAATTGTCTAGGTATGTAGAAATAAAGGTATTTAGAGTTATAATAATCTTTGCATTTGAGCCAAAAATAGTCTAAGCATTATTATTAGGCAATCAGAACATCGAAAATTAGGTGGGAACGTTATGTGTCCTTTTTCATCAACTAATCACGATATACTCTTTCTCGCTTCGACTAACTTCTGACTTGATTGGTTAGTCGGCTCGTTTATTTTTTTAAGAACTATTTAATTTGGTGATTCCTCTATCTATTGACAAGTCAAAGCTACCCCTTCTAAATTCAACCCAGAGTTAGCCATTGCACCAAATACTATGACTATCCTGGCTCCCCTTCAATACCACATACTATATTTAATCATATGACTTCAATTATAGTATAACAATTCTTCAAAATGTTAACCTTTACTTATAATGTTTTTTAAAGGTAAACTGACTTCCTGGGTGAAAAATCAACGGTATATTAACTCTCTGTTGCATAGACATAGCCGGGGGGGGGGGGCAAGGGAAATTCCCCACCCCCTCAGAAATTTAACACTTTTTGTGAATATCAATTTAGGCTAATAAAAAAATATCTACCTTAGTCTTCCCCCCACTCCCTGACCCTTAAAAATGTATGCATATATCTTAAATAATAATTTGAAAGAAAGAATGTAAAAGTTGATTTTTTTTATAAAACTATTGATCATAATTTATACATTTTTGGAAAAATTAATATATAAAATGAACTAAAAATATTTTTTAATAAATGAACGATAAGTCTTAAGACAAAAGTGAAATGTATTATAATTATTAATAATAGATTCATAAAATTACTAAAATATATCAAATTTATTTTTTGTAAAGTGAGTAATTTTAATTTATTATCTTAATAAAAGTAAAATATAATTATAAAACTATTGATAAAATTAAATCATAAATTAAAAAAAAATATTAAAGCACAATATAAACAGTGGAATATTATATGTCTTAGATTTACAGTATATCTAATATCATATGACAATTAAGTAATTTTTACCAATATAACGAATTATATATTTTACAGAAAAAAATAAAATATTGATAAGGACATCAGAAAATATCTTTAAACATTGTGGGATGAATAATATGAAAATTAAATTTTAATATCATTTTTTACTTAAAATAATAGATGGCGTTAAATAATTGAATGCAAATTGTTGTTATATTTATTATCAAGAGCCTTGATTAGTAAATTTTATATAGGAATATCAACTATATGTCTACTTACTTTTTATAAATAAATTTCGTATAATTGCCAGGAATAAATTATTACCATGCTTTTATATTAATGTATATACAAGTAATTTATTATATTTTATATAAACTAATAAAAATATATTTCATATTTGTTCCAGACTTATTATTAAAATTTGTAAAAATATTTTATGACTATATATAAACTAAGGTAACACGGCCGAAAAGCGGGCTGAAGGATAATTTTTAATCCCCCCCCCCTTAGGAAAATCTTGGCTACGCCTATGCTCTGTTGTTAACAGCATCTACATCACAGGATTTTCACTGGAAACCTCCTTCAAATACCTATTCCTAGCCCTCCCCCCCCCAAAAAAAAAAAATTTTGTTGTTTCTATTTTTTATTTCACCTTTTTAATTGTAATGATACTCTTTCAGAAAATTTAAAAAGAATAACTTAAATTATTTTATCTCTACTACCAACTATCGACAGTGAATATCATCATTTTTAATGATGTTTAAACCTTTTAAATTACATTTGAAAGGATAGCAGAAAGTTTTATTTTGAAAATAATGTCTATGATTGTTTGCAATATATAGATTTGGTTGATGAATTATATTATAATAGGTCTATATTAAAAGTATTAATTTTTACAATAATTTTATCCTATTTGATATCAAAATAATAGATAACCCCCCCCCCCCCCCCAAAAAAAAATTCCCTACCCCCATTAAAGCCACCTACCCCTTACACCCCTCAAAAAAAAGGGTGTAAACGTTCTTCCTACCCCCCCCCCCCCATTTATGTAGACGCTTTGTATCTATCAAATTCAACTGAAGATTTTCCGTTAATTTATTTTCACACGAGTAAATACAGAAGGAATCTTTCAGAATATTACCATTTAAGAAACATTATTATTATAAATATGTAGAATATTGAAAATATCTTTTATTTATTTTATCATTTTAAAAACTATATGATGTTAATATTATTCGAATTTATTTGCCAGAAATAACAACCATTTACTATAAATATTGTGTGGGTATGGCAAATCAATCATAAATATAAGCTGTCATATAGTTGTCCTAAAAATCTTTAAATCGCGCAAAATTTAAATTCAAATGGTTCTTAAAAATGTAAAATATAAAAATGATGGTTTAACTATATTAGAAGAATCACAATGTAGCAGTGTTTTCAATTTTACTGTAAATTCTAATGACTTAATATCAATCAAAGAAAGTCCTTTGAACAATAGTCATAAATCACTAAGTTTATCGGATTTGAACCAAACAGATGATTTAATTTTTAATAGAGAAATATCACACATAAAAAAAGAAAAAGACACTATTTTTAAAAGTAATTTTTGTTTAATGCTTTATTTTACTATTTCAATAATAGGGTTAATATTTGAGAGTACACCATTCAAAGAATGTGATTCCATAGGAAAATTGAAAGTGAACCAATCTTGCTCGAGCAATGATGAATTAGAATCATTTTTTCAAAAACTCAATTTAAAAAATATTAAAAGTCAACCCAAACAATTTGATGATATTAAACTCTTTATTTTATCTTCTGAGAGTGAAGATTCTAGCAATGAAGTTGAAATTTATGAGGAAATTTTAAAATTTAATACAGATAATCTCTTAATACCAGATATTATATCAACACCTATTGTGAAAGTAGTATTTTTTTAAAAAAAATAAATACATCTGACAATGTTTCCTAGACAAAAGGAAAATTTCCACCATTCAAATTTCAAACCACCAGAAAACCCAAATTAGTTTCACCACTTTTTCAAAAACCTATAATATTCTCACGTATAAATGTTTCAAAAACTTTTATAAATAATTATATTTTGTTTAGAAGATGATGATATCTTATTGGATACACGTGCCCAGAATGAAAAATTCTTAGAATCTTTAGTTATACATGGTTCTGAGAAGAAGAATTTGTTAAACAAATATGTTACTTCTTTTCA